ATCCTCAACGACGGTAAGTGTCCCTTGATGACAAGTTGAGAGGGTAATGCCACATGAATCGTTAGTTTTTCTGCTCTCCAACAGGCCTCGTTGAACATTACATGTTGGCGGTTTGATTATTTTAAATTTAGTTTTAGGTTGATCTGATTGAGTTACAAAATAATTTCGATGTTTTCATTCTTACTGTGTAGGTACAATTATGACTATATCGAAAGATCGAGTGAAACCCTCTCCTCTGCCTGATAGCTGGAAGCTGCGAGAGATCTTTGTAACCGGCATTGTTTTGGGCACATATCTTGCAATTGTCACCGTCATATTTTTCTGGACTGCCCACAAAACAACCTTCTTTCAGAGAGTGTTTCACGTGGATGATATCAGGGGAGATCATAACAGGCTAGTGGCTGCTGTGTACCTTCAAGTCAGCATTGTCAGCCAGGCTCTCATTTTTGTGACCCGATCACGGAACTGGTCATTCGCTGAAAGACCTGGGCTTCTTCTCGTGTTTGCCTTCATTGTTGCTCAGTTGGTGAGTGCTCTCAACAAGGCTATAAGGCAAAAAAATTATGTATAGGCTTACTTTGTTACTTCCGAGATCAGTGTGGAATATTACAATTCTGTTGATTAGTTATATTGAAACGTTTTCATTTTTGTGAATTTTTATCTGCAGATTGCAACCCTCATAGCTGTGTATGCCAACTGGGATTTCGCATTCATGGATGCCATTGGTTGGGGTTGGGCCGGCGTAATCTGGCTCTTCAGTTTTATATTCTATTTGCCTTTGGACCTCATCAAATTTGCTGTCCGCTATATCCTGCGTGGTAACGCTTGGGAGCTAATCACAGAGCGGAGGGTATGCATAATTCCTGAACTCAACTTACTGTCAACAAATATTTATTATCATGCACAACGTGACTTGGAATGTGTGCTTAAAGTACTATGCATTTCCACATGCCGTGATGGACAGGGAACGTCTTACAGTTAGTAGTTCGATTAATAAGCCTGAGAATTTAAGGGAAAGATTACTTAAGGATCTTCTCAAAGGTGATGGATGTTTTCATTTTGTGTCTATATGCAGGTCGCTTTCACCACGAAAAACAATTTTGGCAAAGAAGAACGAGAACTTCAATGGGTTCAAGCGCAACGCACACTTCATGGATTACACCCAATCAAGAAAGAGTCGCAGGGTTTAGAACATCACGAGACTGAACATCATCATGCAAGCAATATCGCCGACCAAGCCAAAAGGCGGGCAGAAATTGCCAAGTACGCCTCCTCAGCATGCTTGCATTCATTTCTTGTGCTGCAAAAGTGATTGATTTACAAAAACATTTACAAAAATGAATTTATAACGATTTATTTGTGAACACTATTTCCTAAAGTTTCATTCTGACCTGATTTCCTCCTTCCAGGTTGAGAGAACTATATACGTTAAAAGGGCATGTGGAGTCAGTGGTGAAACTCAAGGGTCTTGACATCGACACCATCCAACAATCGTACACAGTGTAGATCAATTTGCTTGTATTATGTTTTATGCACTTTGCAGATCTCATAACGGTGGATAGTACTTGTAAGGGCTAGTGTGCATAATCCCTTGGAATAATGACGTCGATCTAGTGAAGATTGGCGTCGCTGGATCAATCTTATTGAGTGCATTACTTATGATGCGATGGGTACACATATCAGACATATGTTCATATCCTAATTTCTGAGCTACTGCTCGTCAGTTAGATCCCTCGCTTGGCTTAAATGCGGTCCTTTGAAAGCAATAATCATGCGCAAACTTTTACAGAGCAGCCAATAATTCCTAAGGTTTGTTTGACCATTGAACCATATTTTGAAACCTTTAGATGGTTCAATGGTCCATTAAACTTTTGGAACTTCTGTCTATTCTACAAGTGTTGTAAACCACATCTTTATAACAATAAAAATTAAATCAAAATGAAAACAGAAGACTTAGTTTTATTATAACTTTTACGGCACTTCATGTATAAATTATTTTGAAAGAACTACTCGTAAGCTTAATTTTCCTCTACGGTACCCAAGTCGTCACTTCAAAATTATCATTATTGAAGAAGAATATCATTGACAACATGATGGTACACTTGATGCATGTAGTATCCAGTAAGACTAAAGAAGTAATTGAAAATGTGAATAACTTGTTAATAATTGGTCTCACATTAAAACATGAAGAATCGTTTTAAAAAATATGCTGTATCATAAATGAATTACTTACTGTACTGATAGGATATCTTAATATTTTTTAGATTTATCTTAGAGAGTAAATTTAAATGTTGCATTCTTACACCTCGTAAGTAAATATCACAGTGGTTATTTTAATCTCCTGAGTTTACTCTGACCTCAGAACAATATGGCAAATCACACGAAAAAATAAAAAAGAATTAAAAACAGTAACGTCACCGCTACACACCAACAAGCAGTGGATGTTGTCATGGCGAGCTTCGGCGCGAAACGGGGAAGCTAGAAATCGCTGCGGAGACAAGCGCCGCTGCAGGAAAGCACAGTTCCACCGCATTCTGCACGATTCCTGCTGGTATGGCTTTCTCCAGCATTTCTATGCTGGACTGCTGCTCACATATGATGTGATGTGCGCCCATTTCCAGACTCTGAAGGTCGCGCAAAATCGAATCGGTTGGTATGTTTAGCATTTCTACGCCGCAGCGAACAGGGCAGGTTCCTCAAGTTTTCCCCACGTGAGAATGAGATTCTATCTTTGGAGACTACCGAGGCTGGACCCTGTTCTTCTCTATTTGTGCATTGGTAGCAATGAGGGTTGTGGCTGTGATTGGAGACACGAGTAAGTATATCTTTGGCAATCTGCTCATGCTTGTAGGTAAGTGAGCTTAAATTACATCCACTTGGATTTGGAAGGAGAGTTATTGTTTTTTATACACGTGAGTGTAGTTTGTGGCCTTGTCGTCTTCACGAGGAGCATCTCCGCATCCCCACTAGCATCTTTGTTCGTAAAACTGCAAGGATAGTCCGCACAACCAATCCCCCCCCCCCCCCCCGTCGTCTAAACTTGACCAGTGTCCAAATGGTCGATACATTACGCGAGAAGAATGAGTATCAGGCGTACTGAACATGTTCATGCAATTTGATCTTTGTGGCATACTACCAATACGCCGTTCAAATGATGCATTTTTTCTGACTTGCGCATTTCAGATTCTTCCGAAATTCGCTCTGCCACAATCTCGCAGGCGTTGAATCCTTGCGTCATCAGAATCTGCCGCTTTTTATCTTCGTTGGGCCAGAGAGCTGGTATTCATAGTGCTCTTGGATTCTTCGAAACTTGCACAACAAGCCTCACAACAGACTTGTCGTCGAGGCGGCCTCTAGCTGGCCGCTCTTCACACAGACTTGGATTTTTTTTCTTTCTTTATTTGTTTGTTGCAATCAATGCTTTTGCATAGTCTCCTTAGTGCACGAGATTTGAGTAGAGGTGATTCACATTTTCATTGACAAGGGATTAGGAGATCAGATCAGAGTCTTTTGAAACTTACATCAACATGGGAGTTTTTTTTACTTTTTTTATTAAAAAGATAAAGGCACGATTAGGATTTTATAGACACTTACGCAAGTTGTGTCTGTATGGGTCTTCAGAACAGTGATGCAAGGAGTAATGTTGTAGCCTTAGATGATGCAATCTACAATTGCATATAATGACGAGAAGAAATAGATTTGTTGACAACACTAGGTGGCTACAAACAAGCTATTTGGCCCCATCCAATTTGTCAAATTGAGAGTGAAGAACCACTCAAAGGGTTTGAGAGGAACTACTATAGTTTTCTAATGAAAACCACTCTAAGATTAATTGAAGTTGACAAAAACTTAATATGTGTCAAACTTAAATATTTTTCTAACAATGTTGTTGTTACTTTTTTTTGTGGATGAAAAACCTCCTTCTAATATTTTAGGAACTTAGCTAATTCACCTAAAGAAAGAATTTGAATGACAAATTGAAATAATAATAAAAATAAAAAAAACATATGCAATGGCTACTTTTATTTATATACAGATGCAACAGAAATAATTATAAATACATCATTAATAATATATTAAGAAGATTACAAGACAAGTTTCAAAACGTAGTCCATTGTGTAGCAAATTATTTGATCCAAGTACTTAATTTTGGTCCAAACAACCACAAAAAGCCATCAAATAAAAGAATATTTCTTAATAGAACAAACAAATAATAATCAAACAAAAACACTTTTTAAAGCTAGAAATATTTCAAGTTGTGATTGAAGGCCAATTATCCAATAAGTAGTAAAGACACATATACATTCCAACAAAGTCCTCGGTGATATACACCAAGCTCAATAGAACAACAATGGATTTGTTGTTATGCATGATTTATACCAAAGAATAAAGCAATTCAAGCAAAAAATAACAAAAAAAAAAATTAAAAAATTAAAAATAACATCACGTGTTAATGGAATCATGTACAACAAGTAAAGCCATATATGCTAATCCTTTAAATATAGATGGAAGTGCAATTGGCCACATATTGGAACATTGATCCACATGTCATTGCTTCACTAGCAATACATTTTAAGCCAAAGAAGATTGAAAGATGAGTAATACTTGAGGATAGACATCTAAGATCCAATTTTTTTTTGAAATTATGATGGTACAAGGATTTTATATACATAGAAAAAATCTAATTAAAGACACATGCTATAAATTCTATACTAACTTCTATACTAATTTTCTTTTTGAATAAGACACAAATAATGTTATATATAATATCTTAGCATCCATCCAATTTAAGGTATATGATCAAATAATCTCAAGTTTATATCAAATAAATCAATAAAATAGAGGTACAACTAGTCATATAAAATATTCTACTAAAAAATCATTAGGCTTCAATGGCGTGGGAGTAGAATTCTTTAAAAGTTATTGAAAGAACATTGGTAAGGACTATATAAAAATGGTGAACTTAGCATTATGTCAAGGTCACTTCTTTTAAAGCTTAATTGGAAGGAAAATTATTCTATGTTCTTATATTAGTGATTAGAAGCATCTAAATAACTAAAGATTTAATATTTTTTAAAATATATCCCATAGAACATATATAAACGTTTTTTAAAAAGTCTCTAGATAATTTGCACTAGATTATTAATTTAAACCAAACAACCTTCTTTTCTCTTAAACACATTGTAGATAATATCATGGAAATTTGAAAAACAATCTCTTATACAAGGGCATTTCCTTTCTTAATGGAGAAGAAGTGTTTGTAAAGCAAGTGGTTAATATCGTCTACTAATTTGGATTTTTTATTCATCCAATTCTAAGTACCAATCACATATCTATTCTTCTATAATCAATTGGTATTATATTTAGAAAATTGGTAAAAAAAATCAATAGAAAAAAAAAAAAAAAAAAAAAAAAAAAAAAGAGTCAAGATGTACTTTTGTTTAAAGTTTTACAAAAAGTATTGTTTTTTGAAATGTGCAATAATTCTACTTTAAAAAAGTAGAATTTATAAATCTTTAAGAAGTTTTGTCAAAATTTGTTTGCTATTATTTTTTTTAATACAATTTTATTCAAAGCATAGTTTCTTCTCACTTTATACTATCTCTAACAATTAAGACCCCTAAAAAACAATTCTTTATCAAGCAATGACTTATTGGGATTAATTTGTAGAATAATCTTTTAAGGCTTTTACAAGCAATATTTTATATGAGATTGAATACTTCTTTGCTTAGACTTGGCAATGATCAAATGTACTATGTTTGTATACAATTTATAAATATCTCTTTATCACATACTATTGAGTTGATAGTGATTATTAAAAACTCACATATTATTAATAATTTTCTTTATTGAGATGATTTCTTAATTATATTATCATTTTTTTACTATATTTTTAAATGCATGTGGACAAACCAAAGCAAATCAATCTTGCACTTTTTGTTCTATACTTTTTTCTTCTTTTTCTTTCTTCCCATTTTTGTGTACTGTATGTATGTATAATTTTTTATGAATGTAAATAAATAACAATAAAAATTGAACTTGGATTTTTGTGATTAAATCTTCTTTATTTTTGCTTACAAATATAATACTTTGAAGTTTCATAAATTATTAAAAATGGATATTCTGCATTGTAACATCTTCAAAAGATTGCAATGCTCGTGAATTAGTCTCAGTGTATTATAAAACTTGTTATGACCTCGTAGGTATGTTCTGAATCAGTAAAATTTGAAAAGATAGTCATAATTTTTTCATTTAAAAATACACATATTCGTGCAATGAGTGTATATACATAATCCCTACAAAAACAAATCACGTGAATCAAGAAATTTTCAAACGTTGCATTTTACTCTGAAATCAATCACAAATAGTAAATATATTGGTATATAAAACACCTTTTTTAAAAATGAACTTTCATTACATTTCAACTTGCAAATCTTTGTTTAAACAAATAAAGTTTTAAAAAATGAATATTGATTCTCTGTTTATTATTTCAAATGTATTATTAGTTTACTATGATTGTAACTATGATTCTTAAAGTGTACTTAAAATAAATACTATAATATGTATTATAGTATTATGTATATATATAAATTTTGAATTATTTTTTTTGAGTAAAAGAATTTCAAAGAACATATTTGAAAATAGTAACACAAGGGTCAATAATAATATAAGTTGTGATGTGTTGGTATGAACAAAAGAAATCTTTCAACTAGAATTGACAAATAATTCTATTTGATTAAAGTTCTAAATTTGATAAGTGTCAAGAGCTTTATATTAAAACGGTTTGAAAACTGGTTTAACTCTGTGCACCAAAAGCAATATAAGCATGTATCTTCGTTTTGTATCATAGTTTCAAATATGCACTATAGTTACCTTTTAATTTTACTTAATAGTTAACCATTTTCATTACTCAACAACTGAACCAAATGAGAATGTAGGTAAAAAGTCATGTTTAATTTTCAATGATTTTCTTTACTATATACATCAAAATTATTTTAAAAACGAAATCTTTTAGGAATTTATGGGGTATCTCATTCCAATTAATGCAGTGAGTAAGCCAAATTTTAATTTCATAACTATTGCAAAAAAATCTGCATACAATGTGGAGTTAGCTAGGCTCAAATTTTATATCACAATTGAATGATTTCTTAAGTACATTTCATGTACAGTGGGGTACAGAAATAATTCGAATTTTTTTTCTAGAGCACCACTTTTGCTAAAAAAATCTTGTTGTTCAATTGAATGTTGTCATCATGTTGGAAGGAATTTTTCCCCGACACTTGGCCATCTATTTTTGGAGTGCAAGAGGTGTCTAATTGCATGTAATTAGCCATGTGTCTTCAAAAGCAAATTGCAAATGTGATGATTAATGTGGAAGTGGTTAGGTGAGCTAAAAAATCACAGTTGCAATTAGGCATGTATGCAGCCAGCAAAATGGAGTGATAGCATAGAATGCTTAGATGGGGTGACTTATATAATCCATTTGAAGATGTGAAGCACATTGCACTCCCACAGATTGAGATTGTGAAGCACATACAGATTTTAGAAGTGTTCTTTTTTGGTTTTGGACATCGTTAGCTTCAGTGACTCCTCTCCTTCAAACTAGAAGTTGGTTTGTGCTATTTGAAGGCTTACAGCAAGCACCATGAAGTACAGAACATTGTCCCCTATGCAGAAGAATCAGATTGTGGAGATGAGGAAGGCTGGGATGAAGTGTAAGGACATTGCAGAAGTCTTCAGTGCTCCCTGTTCCACCATTTCAACTATCTTGAATCATTGGAAGGTCCATAGAAGTGTCGAGTCGTTGAAATCACAATGTAGCAGACCCAGGAAGTTGTTTGAGCGGGATTTTCGGGTGTTATGTCATGCTGTCAGTTCAAATAGAAGGCATACTCTGGTAGAACTTGCAAACTTGGTGAGTGTTTCCCGAACTACTGTTCGATTCTACCTCCGTGAGCTTGGTTTTAGAAATTGTATAGCACCTAAAAAGCCCTATTTGAATATCAAACATAAAGCAGATAGGCTTGCATTTGCACGTGCTTATGAGAGTTGGACGTTTGAAGATTGGTGTAATATTATTTGGACGGATGAGTCGTCATTCGAAACTGGCAAAAATCCATGGCAAATTAGAGTGTGGCGGAAGGCATACGAAAAATATAATTGGGATTGTATAGCACCAAGTTTTAAGTCTGGACGTAGTTCAGTGATGGTTTGGGGTGCCTTTACTGGCTTTGATAAGTCTCCATTGATCATCATTCCTTTAGATAAGAGTTCAGCAAGGGATTTTGTCACTATTGTTTATGAAGGAGTATTAAGTGGCTTTTATTTCTTATATGATGACACTGAGCAATTGATATTGATGGAGGATGGCGCTCCAGTCCACCGTAGCTCATTGCCACTGCAATGGAGACATGCTCATGGTATAGAAAAGTTGTTTTGGCCTGCCAATTCACCGGACTTGAATCCAATAGAGAACGTTTGGATGGTTGTAAAAGATTTGCTCAAACATCATAGTAGACCTAATAGTAAGCTAGAAATGATAGAAAAAATTTAATCCGTATGGGATACCATATCTATAGAGTGGCTTAGTACATTGATTTCCACTATGCCTTATAGGATGCAAGCGGTGATTGCAGCTGGGGGTGGTAGTACGAGATGGTAGATAGTATGTAACAAAAAGCTCTCTTGATGTATATTTTCACAACTTTATAATACAAACTTGTTACACCATGAAACTAGATTCTACTATCTTTGCAATGCATTTTACGGCTCAAAAATGCGTTCATTTTCGACACTGCTGGAGCTTTTTGAAGTTCAGTGATTTCTAACACTGATTCACTTTGAAAAAAAATTCGAATTATTTCTGTACCCCACTGTACATACACTAGCATTAATTTAATCATTTAAAATTACCCTTAAAAAAAAAACAAGTAAATATCAAGGTGAAGTCTATCATGTGCTTACACACAGTTTCTAAGCTTTTGTTGAATAAATTTGTTAAATCATCAGATATCACTTTTTTCCAAACACATTTTAAACAACATATGAATCCACCCACATTAAAGATTTGACTTTTATCACATTTTAGCACTTCAAACTGGATGAGTATTTGACTGGTTTTGCAATGAAAATAACCCAAAAAAATGGTAATCCAATACACACATCACTTATGACTTTACGAGCCATTACAGGTTGTACAGTTATTCATAATCAAGAGAATTAAAATTCTACAAATTTAATTCTATTATTTGTATGAGTTAGAATCGCTAGTGACAACATCCTCGCTAGCGTATCGAACATAAGGAAGTTGAGGCCCGGTTGGTGCCGTAAGGATTTATAACTGGATACTGGTCATACCGGGCATCGATACCAAAGTTAGGGTTCCATTGCCTCTCTCACTCTGATTGTAAAACCTGCGTCCACGCAAGTCGGTGTCTTCTCTACGCTTGCGCTTCGTCGCCTCCTCTCGAACTCAATCGTCGAAGGCGGCAACTTAGCCGCTTTGCAATTTCCTACCGTCATGGCTACTCAGATGAGCAAGAAGCGTAAGGTGAGAGAATTCTATTTGGTTGGGAGAGGAGTTTGGAGTTCTGGTGAAATGTAAGTAGAATCATGCACGAGCTCTTACTTCGAGATGCACTTCCCTTACTGCCTTGTGTTTGTGGTCGCGCTCGTGCAGTTTGTAGCAGACGGAGTTTTCTTCGCTGAGCTCAACGAGCTTCTCACCCGCGAGCTCGCTGAAGATGGTTACTCTGGCGTGGAGGTGCGTGTCACCCCCATGCGTACCGAGATCATCATCCGCGCTACCCGTACCCAGAACGTTTTGGGTGGGTCTCGAGCCTCTCTGGGTTTTTTGCACATTTGGTTACTGCTGTGTTTAAGAGTCATTAAAATTAACGAAGCGCGAGTTGGTGACGTATAGGGTTTGGAGGATTGAGGTAGGGTGAGTGTGTTGTTGGCAGGTGAGAAGGGACGTAGGATTAGAGAATTGACATCTGTGGTACAGAAGAGGTTTCAGTTCCCCGAGGGCACAGTGGAGTTGTACGCTGAGAAGGTTAACAACAGAGGTCTATGCGCTATTGCGCAGGCTGAGTCTCTTCGATACAAGCTTCTTGGTGGTCTTGCCGTTCGCAGGTCCGTACTTGCGGTTGAATGTGTATCGTGGAATGACAGAATTGTGGGTGTATGTTATTTCCCCATCTATTATAAGCTTAGGTGTAGGTCAATTTGTCTCAACTGACGTACTTTCTATCCTGTGTATTTTTAGGGCTTGCTATGGAGTGCTGAGGTTCATCATGGAGAGCGGTGCCAAGGGTTGTGAGGTACTGTGACCATGTGCTTGATATTTTGGAAGCCATTGTATTCCTTTGGGTATTCATTTAGTGATATGTCATTCCGGACGCCCTAAAAAACTCCAAGCATATATAGAATTCTGATTACTAATTATTACAATGCCCTTAAAACATCTTTTTCATACTATACGAGGCCCCGATTCTTACACATTTTAGTTGCATACAACTCGCATTATGGAGTTTGAACTGAAATATATGATGTGGTTAACGTTTGTACTACTATCAGTTATCAGCTATCAGTTGCTCAACGTATTCCATCGTGTGACGGTTGCAGGTGATCGTAAGTGGAAAGCTGCGCGCAGCTCGTGCCAAGTCCATGAAGTTCAAGGACGGCTATATGATTTCATCAGGAAGCCCTGTCAACGATTACATTGATAGCGCTGTTAGACACGTCATGTTGCGACAGGTATGTGGATCTTCATAGTGTTTTTGGTCTTCAATTTTCTCTGACGATGCTAGATTTCGTCATCGTTTTTGCTCTATATACCTAATCCAGTGTATTGACGTGTTACTTTTTTAATTACTGTTCTTGGCAGGGAGTGTTGGGCATCAAGGTAAAGATCATGCTCGACTGGGACCCAAAGGGCAAGCAAGGCCCCATGACCCCTCTTCCAGATGTGGTTACTATCCATATGCCCAAGGAAGAGGAGGAGTTTGCCCACAAGCCTCATGTAGGAAAGGAGGAGTTGTAGAGCAAATCGTGGAATGCATCTTTTCTAGTGAAATTGAATTTAAGGTCGCTGTTTTGCTCAAGTATATCTCCTTTTATTTTAGCGAGTTTCTTGTGTGAACTGTACTGTGTGACTTTTACTTTCGATTGAGATGTGCTGCGTTTGGGATTAAGTTCAGTCAGTTGGTACAGTGATATTTCCCTTGAGCTACTTTTGAACGATTTCACTCACGATAGGATTAGTAGTCGTGCATGTCAGTATGTCGTGACTGAAATTAGGCATTCAGTAGCGTTTTCTCGAAACCTGGTCCTCGATGGATGGAGACAGTACTTGTGCACCCTCGGGATGCAGTAGCTGCCTTGTTTTAGGTTACACGAAGCATTTGTGCGCACCCTTCGTGAAGCTTTGTGATGATTTCATACTACTTGCAAGTCAACACCAGGAAGTGAGTAATGGTGGAAGCTGTTGAATGCTTTTCCACCCGTCTATGTATTGCAGCCGGAGGAAAGTGTGAAATTTGGATGGTGCAGAGACCCCTGCCTGAGCTCCTTGTAAACCTGAAAGGGTCGCCATGCTCTAAGTGCGTCCTAATTTGTACTTGCTCATGTCTTGTTAAATGTCTAATCCATATTACCTTCAAAGGTGATGAATGGAAACCCCCGTGTCTTGCCAATTGGCATGCGTCCAGCAGGCGGAAGTACATTGTCTTGAAGTGAAATCACTCCTCTAACTATTAGGATCTGACGATTAGGAACTTGCATGTCGGTGATAATGCTTCGTCAATACCGCATACACATACATGTCAGAGTAGTTGTGGGTCACACCGTCGCTTTGTTCAATTGTGTCCACGACGTGGTTGTATAATTGCAGAGTTTGTAAGTCAAGTGAATAGCAATTAGATTGCTAAGAATAGTCAGGAGTGATGTGAAATTTGTTTGTCAAATCACTTATTTTTATTGCATGTCAGAAAGAATTGACTGAAGTATCACCGCAACAATGCGTTGGCTATGTAATGTGATTTGAATTCCGAGTGCTCATACTTGTAAATTCGCACATCTACTATTTAAAGTGGATAAATAAATGCTGATAGTAATGTGAAGTTCTAATGTCTATAGCCTGAAGTTAGAGCCAAGATAGGCGACTACCCAAAACCAGTTAACAAGAAGTAAAGAACTGCAGCCTACACAAGAAAATACATGAAGTATTGACAAAAAGCTTAATATCTGTAGATTTAAACTATTTCTTTTAATAAAATCATTAAAACACTCAAATTCTAATAAACCTAAATATTATCATTCTAAGATTAAAGAAAAAGGTATGTGTAAATGTTTTTTAGTGCTTTATTGTTAAACTTTTTGTATTGATCCTTAAAGTTAATGATATTACTACAAATTTAGGTTTCATACTATAAGTAAATTTTATAAATATCTTCGAATGAACTATTAAAGATACATCTAAATGTATATCCTCGCATCAATAATCCTGGTCTTAGGTAGGATACTTATTTAGCATGTATAAGCCTTGTTTCTTTCTTCTTTTATTTCTTTATATATTGTTTTTTTAATATTTAAAATATCAATGAGCATACTACTAGTAATGTGTGTTTAAAAATGCAAACAATCGAGAGGACACATCGAACAGATACAATCAACATTTCTTCAGAATTTCTCTTCAAGGTGAAAGTAATAATTTCTAAAGCAACTTTGAACGGGGCTAGGGCAATTCATACATTCATACCAACTTATGTCACAAAGTTGTTAACAAACCTCATATCATGTGATAAACATACTTTAGAATCTAAAACCTTTAATAAATTTAATAATATAAAACATTCAAGCTATGTAAGCCTCAAATGGATTGACATGAGAAAAAACTAAAGTAGCATAAAATAAATAAACAACAATGTCGAGAGTACAATAAATTTTTGAGTTTGAGAAGCACATTTGAGAATTTCATCATTCCTCATGAAACGACAACACAAATAAAAGGATAAGTAATAAAGTCGAACGCAGCTTTGGACGAGGCCCGAGCATTTCGATTGTTGAGCGAGCTCACAGTGAAACATGACGCTGCGGAATACCTTTAAAAGTAAAAGTAAAATATTATGCCTGCGATCCTTAAAAGTAAAAGAAACAGAATGGCCTACGCCCAAACGTTATGGCGCGGAAGGACCAACCAGGGGATCACTCACGCATCATAATGTTTGGGCCACGGCCACTACGCCTCGTGTAATGCCCTTCACACTGGACGAAGAAAAGCTCCATGGGAAACACTATTTTGGAAACCCTAACGAAGTTTTTTGAGCTGTTTGATTCTTCTTCTCCTTATTCTTCTTCTTCTTCTGCTTCCCGGTTGTTACTCGAGGGACGAACGTGGGAGCGGGCTTAGAAGTGGAAGACAAAGAGAGCTTCGATCGTCGTCGATTGCTGGTCTGCAAATCATTGCCCTCCGATTCTGCCGTTTTGTAGCTGTTGCACTTGGTCATGTCCACTCTCGAAATTGAAGCACGCGAGTAAGTGTCCCGTTGTGCTGCACTTTTGGATTGTGCTCGATTTTTTGTTTCATTCGCGTGCTTGTGTTTGCTGGTTCAGATTGAAAGTAGCTATGGTCGTTGACTTGTCGTCTGAATTGCATTAGTTTCCTTTTTGAAAAAAAATCGTTAAAGTTTTTGCTGGCGTTTTTTTGATGAAGTATTGCTTTTAGAGATGCGCGTCGAGGCGTATTGGTATGAAAATAGTCCAATTGTCACTGCATTGGCGTTTAAGTGGTCTTGATTGTCGTAAGTTAATGAGTGTGAGTACGAATTAGTAATTCGGAAAAATGCGCCGTGGGCATGGACCTTTGGTTATTTCAAGTCGCACTTGTACCTATCAGTCTAGATTTCAGTTTTATATTAGATATAGCAATCAATCAACACTTTGCTATCAAGATGCTATTATGTTATCGTCTTCAAGCTGATTAATGGGTAGTCTGTTAATTATTGGAGAGACTTGAAGCTAGCCACCTTAAAATTTGATTTTCTTATTGAATTCAGCGTGATTGCAATGTTCGATGTTACTTGCAGACAGCTGGTTCTTAGTTCTCTTTTTAGATTCGTTTGAAATTGTGCAAAGTTTATGTCGTTTGAGGTCTGTGTTTTAATGTTATATACTCCAAGCTTGTCGTGTCCATCACGTGGATACCATCCTGAATAATGAAGAGAGCCTGGCATAATCCGTTTCACCCCTAGATGAGAAAAAATGTCTTAGACATGTAAGAGAGTTCATTTCTGGTTGTGTAATGGGGATTCAATCGGGCTGTGTTGCCTCTTTGAAAATATGTGTCATGTGACAATGGGAGATGTCCAGAAATTATATTTTGGAGCATGTTAATATGCTGTATTTATCAGGTCTTTTAGTTTTGGAAGTGCTCAGATTGATGAGAGCTTTTAACAGATTTCATTTGACCTCAGTGTTCACCGAAGGCTTTTGTTGGAGTTGTGCAGTGTCATTAAAATAGTGCTGCAGTTCTGTAAGGAGAACTCCTTGCAGCAGACTTTTCAGACACTGCAAAATGAGTGTCAGGTTTCCCTCAACACTGTGGACAGTCTTGAGACATTCACAGCAGACATAAATAATGGCCGCTGGGATGCCGTGCTGCCTCAAGCGGCCCAGCTCAAGCTTCCTCGCAAGAAGTTGGAGGACTTGTATGAGCAGGTTCTTTCTTTATGATCTTTTTTGGTTTTAAGTGTTTTTATGTGACTACATTTGGTTTGGCAATTCACATGTGCAGATCTCTCGTGACTGCTTACATAGGATCCACCTTTTACACATGTAGATGTTCAACTTAATGACAACCACGCTAAGAGTAATCACCTGTGGGTTTATGGCAGATTGTCCTGGAAATGATAGAGCTTCGTGAGTTGGATACTGCCAGGGCCATTTTGAGGCAAACGCAAGCCATGGGTTTTATGAAACAAGAACAGCCTGAGCGTTATCTCAAGCTTGAGCATCTCCTTGTTCGCACCTACTTCGATCCTCGTGAGGTACTGTATGATGAGTTAATCTGGTTTGAAGTATCCAGTTATTGTGTTTATTTTACCCTCTAAAGAATTGTTCATTGTATTTTAGAGGACGTTCTCTTACCAGTGCATTGTTGTTATGTGGACTTGAACTTTCTGGGACTTTGATACAAATTGATTTATAGTAGTTGCTTTCATCGAGAATGATGTTTGGGATTCACTCTTCTTACAACTTTAAATGTTACTCGCGGCAGGCTTATCAAGAATCATCCAAGGAGAAAAGACGCGCTCAAATTGCTCAGGGTCTGCATCCCCCCCTCCCTGCTGTGTGTGTTTGTTTTTGTGTGTAGATCTGTGGTGGTTAATGTTGTCTATTATGTTATGATTTCAATACATTAAAATAAGAATTTTGTGCAGCTCTCTCTGTCGAGGTCACCGTTGTACCCCCATCCAGACTGATGGCTTTGATCGGTCAGGCATTGAAGTGGCAACAACATCAAGGTTCTTCATGCCTCTAATTTTGATCATAAGCTATATCATTTATCTTTATTCTTGCATCACTTAATTTCGATCCTAATTTAATTTTTATTCAAATCATACACAATGATGTATATATTCTGAAGTCGAGTGTGGTTGGTTGCAGGTCTATTGCCACCAGGCACACAGTTTGATCTTTTCAAAGGCGCTGCTGCTGTGAAGGCTGATGAGGAAGAAATTTATCCAACAGTCCTTGATCACACAATCAAGGTATGTTCTTTTAAGACAAGGCTGCTAATGGTCCCGAATCTCAACGTGGTTGTATTTGTATTTTGGTTGTGCCGAATACTTTTGCGCCATGTTTTACGTTTAGCTTTCATGATCACTGAATCTGCCTTATAATTTCATCTTTTGCAGTTTGGGAAACAAAGTCATCCAGAGTGCGCGCGGTTTTCTCCTGACGGACAATTCCTCGTTTCTTCTTCAGTTGATGGGTTTATAGAGGTTTGTATTGATCTAACCATTCAGTACTATGTAACTGTAATATAACGCACTTTTTTCTTTGTTTTTTGACCAGGACGAACAAACGGATACTTTGTACATGTTTTGATCCATCCTACACTCTTTTTTTCTTTTTTTCTTTTTTTTATAATTTTTTTTTTTATTGACGTTTAACATCAGTCAATGTCCGTTTAGGAAGTTATGGTTTTTGCTTATTGCTTTGTGTAGTGCATAGCAATGCTCAAGAATGCTTCAAAAGGAAGTTTACTTTGGTACTCACTGAGTATTTAACATGACAAGATTTCATTTCTTAGTCCTCCTGGGTATGAGTTGTCGAGCCGCGGAATTTCCCGGACGTGTCCGTTCTCGAAGGACCAACGGTACTGACAATGATAAGTGACTCTGGGAGCACTAATTTTGTCTGTCTTCACAACAACTCACCAGGTGTTTGATGTTTTGTAGGTTTGGGATTATTTGACGGGGAAACTGAAGAAGGATTTGCAATATCAAGGAGCTGTAAGCTCAACTTAAATATTGGGCATGTGCAACTTCCTGTGTTGCATAAGTTTGTGCGTTTAACTTCAATGCTATGTGGAATGACCATTATGTTCACTCTGCATGTTGCAGGATACGTTCATGATGCACGATGAGGCAGTTTTATCCATCGCCTTCAGTAAGGATTCCGAGATGCTTGCTTCTGGATCTCAAGATGGAAAAATTAAGGTTTATTTCTCATTTCACGTTCGACCTGCAATTTAAAAGTGCATTCTCTGGCAGCGCTTAAGTGCTATAATGTTCTGTTGTGTCTATGTGCAGATTATGTAGACAAATGACCTGTGCACGCAGACGTCCAGTGTAGTTGCTTTGAATTAAACACTTAAAGCTCCCGTTATGTCTTCGCAAGCACAATTTTGACTGCCAAAAAATGAACGTATTGCATTGTGGTACAGTATGATGAAGTGACTGCAATTTCTTTGCAGGTATGGAGGATACGTACTGGACAATGTTTGCGGAGATTTGAACGGGCACATGGTCAGGGCGTAACAAGTGTTAGTTTTTCTAGAGATGGTGCTCAAGTCCTGAGTTCATCATTCGATGGCACAGCACGGTATACTGATTTTGACAGCATAATTTGTCTCAGAAGTAGGAAGTGGTTGTGGACGGTGTTTATTCCTTGTATTGCAAGGATGTAAATTCGATTGCAGCATCCTTCACTTTTTGGTAATTTCTTCCATTACATTGCATGTGCGTAGTTATAATCGTTTATGCATGGTTGTATCTCGGCAGGTTACATGGATTGAAGTCTGGGAAAACTTTGAAAGAGTTTCGGGGCCATACGTCATATGTTAATGATGCCATCTTCACAAGTGATGGTACCCGAGTGATAACCGCCTCCAGTGATGGTTCTGTGAAAGTGAGTACTTTGGTCTCTATGTACAAATAAATGTTATTTGATGGATCCTATTGTTATTGTTTTTGAGGAACACATACTAGCCCTGTCAGAAATCATGCAAGCATATTGTGTATGTCAAATTGTTGTGGATTGAAGACTTGATCCTCTCTTTTTTATTTTTTTTATTGTTTTGTTGCGATGTTTTGATTTCTTTTCCTCTTGGTTTTCTTTGTTTTTGCTTTATTACGATATTGAATACCATACTTCGTCCATGTCAATTTGTCAGGTTTGGGACTTGAAAACCACGGATTGTTTACAAACTTTTAAACCCCCGCCTCCATTGCGAGTGAGTTTTCATCTGCTTAGCTTTCTGTTTTCTTCATCGGGGTTGATCCATATCGTTTTTTTAATTAAAATATCAATTAGTTGCAGATGTAAAGTATTTGAGCACTCGCTGCTTATTGACGTTTGATGTATTCTTTAAAATGTCTGTCTTTTAACTTTTTTCTTTTTTTTTTTTTGGCTAGGGGGGTGATGCAACAGTCAACTCCGTACACCTCATGCCTAAGAATCCGGAGCATATTGTTGTGTGCAATCGAGCATCTGCTATTTATGTTATGACTTTACAGGGCCAGGTTCTTGCTTTCATACCGTACTAGTAGTTGTGTGACGTATAGTGCACTTCTTTTATTTCGTATATGATGAAGTTATTTTGTTTTTGTTGTATTCTTTGTTGTGTGAATTTTTACTTAGAAACTCACAGATATATCCTAGATTCGTCGCTCAGCATGTAGTATGTTTTCGCTGCATACATGGTTACCATCAATGTATCCCCTCAACAATTAGTATGCATGCAGGTTGTGAAGAGTTTGTCTTCGGGAAAACGAGAAGGAGGTGACTTTGTAGGTGCTACTGTTTCCCCGAAAGGGGATTGGATATATTGTGTTGGTGAAGACCGGTAAGGTCTCTTCGACAATTGTTCAACTACTGTATTGCTAGGTCTGACTATGTTGAGACATGGATCCAAATTTGCCCTACATTTCAGGAATATACTTGCTTCTGCAACTGTAAGCTTTTGCAGTTTCCTTGAGGTTTTGCATTGTTTGTTGACAGGAACATCTATTGCTTTAGTCATCATTCAGGCAAGCTTGAACATCTCATGACGGTAATATTTCCCATCTTTTCTTTAAAAAAAATCAGTTAATTTTTTTGTATTCTGTTTTGTCGCATTATTCTCGTAGTTTGCCAAATGTTGTTATTATTGTAGACGTCTATATTCCGTTCAACTGACAATCAATCCTATAAAACTTATGTAAGGTTGCGTACATATCCGATTGATACCACACAACTGTAGCGTCTTTATGCCTCGCATTAACATTTCTGTGGTGCTTATCGAGTTCAGCTTGTTCGGCTTTGTCCCTTGGCAGGCTCATGACAAAGACATTATTGGAGTGACTCATCATCCTCATCGTAATTTGCTAGTGACGTACAGTAATGACAATACTATGAAACTCTGGAAACCGTGAATCTGAGCTACTTGTACAATTTTTAATGTTTCTGAACTCTTGTGCCCTTCTTTTCCAATTTTTTTTGTGAGTGAATGTGCTGATAGTTACCTCTGATTTGGTACTTCTAATCATGCTACTCCGTTTTATTAAAGCACACTTAGAAGCAGTTTGGTACCTCACCAATACCTGGATTGATCCTTTCCAAGAAAAATTTGTTGCAGCATGGACAAACTGCCTCCATCACTCTGGACATATTGTTGCTTCTCACGATGAAAGCGCACATGCTAGGCCATATACATATTTGAGAAAGAGCAGACTTGATCTGTTATGTTATAAACGCATTGATTAGTCCATCAACAACTACTTAAATGACAACTTTGCTAATTTGGAAGAGTTCTCTGCTCTTGTCTTTGGAAATGCAAAAAGGAGAGATCTTTCATAATGTTCAAGACAAAGTTCTTCATTTTGCACTTTCAAAGGTCTAGGATCGAGCAAGTTGTCTTTGCTTTCTTAAATGTTTTTTTTTTATGACTTCATGTAATATGGTACATATTGACCTACATGATCTCCAATTTTTAGTTAAACATTGCAAGGCACCCAACTCAACTAGATGATAAACCTTGAGCATCAGTCTTTGAAACAATTTGAGACATACCATGCTCTCATACTTTTTGAAACACTAAGTAAAGACTTGAGATATTGAACTTTGGTCCACACTAACATATTTTAGGAGTGCAACCAATGTACCTTGAAGTAATTGAAAACTTAGAAGCATCATTACCAATCATATTGGAAATAGTTACGAACAATTTTGCTACTCTCTCTAATCACCAACTAGAAGCTACACTTAAAGAATTGCATAGATTATTCCAACAGGCGCCACAAGCAATTAGAGATCTGGAAGTTGTGAGGACAGGCAGAGGTTCAGACAAAGATGCTTGCACTTGGCAGGATCCATTAGACTTTGAATACTTGGAAGGTCATCAAAAGTCAAAAAGAGTAGAAACTTGTGCTTGTAGTCAAATTTGGCACCACAATAATTCAAAAAGATGTTCAATTCAAAAGATCAAAGGATAGCAACCTGCATTATCTACAAATGTTCAATACTATTATTCAATGGTTTTGCAATGCATGCAATAATGTTGCTATTTTTTCTAGAATACTAGCTCATTTCTCTTGTGCAAGCATTACATGCATAAATTGTGCAACCAAGAACCAAATGTAGAGCATAAAGTGGCAACAAAAAATTTCTCAACTTTAGTACTAAAAATTGCCGCAAAACATTTGGCAATTTTTGCAACAAAATTATTGATAGAAATTGCGGTGGTAGTAAACACAGGGCATTGTAGGCAAATTCATTGCAAATTAGGAGGATTGGATAGATTCACGTTTTAATAAATCATATTAGGATAATTAGGCATATAAAACTAAATTTAAAATTACTTTTAAAAAAACATATTTCTAATTTTTTTTCACAAATATCATCTTTTGTAATCATATGGTAATTTTAGTGCCTACTATTTTAATAAATCATTCAATGGCATATTAATAAAATTTACATATTTAATATTAATTAAAAAGTAAAAACTTCTATGAATAATATATATATATATATATAGTAAAATTATTAATTAATAAGTAACTATTCTTTTTCTTATTTAATAAAATTATATCAATAATATATATTAATTTTTTAAATATATATTTAATATGTCAATTTTTTTATTATTTATTAATATATTTTACTACAAAAATCATACTCGAATTATTATTATTATTATTATTATTATTATTATTATGTGGTATTTAAATAATTTTTTTATCTTTTTATCTTGTTTTAGTATAATTTTATTTATTTGTACTATTAAAATTAAACAACTAATATAGTGTTAAATAAAATTGTATAATTTTTTTATAACTCAATTATTTTATAATAAGAGATGTATTCATGCTAAATTTATATTTATTTATTCTTTGTCCTTACCAATGTATAAATGTATATTGTCATTATTTGGTTCTGATATCAAATTAATTAATTTTTTTTTCTATTCTATATATTGCTAAATTTTTGATTTGAAGAATAAATTATTTTATTGATGATAATAGTTATTTTTATTTTTATATGTATTCTTATTACATGTATATTGTATACATAAAATTTAAAATTTTGTATGAAAATATGTATTCAATAATATGATATTATTTTGAATTTGTTTTATCATACAATGTCAAATTTATTATTATTATTTAATTTTTAATTTTTAATTTTTTTAATGGTAAAAATACAACTTAAACATAAAATATGACTTTGTCTAATATGAAATCTTATATTTAAAATAAATATGATTTAAAAAAAATGTCTCTTGATATTTTAAATTAGTACAATAATAAGAAGGCAAGTAACAATCTAAATTATTGTTTGTGATTTGAAGAATTTTGATAAAAAATATCATAACAATACATAGTTTTTGTTTTTTAATATAAATCCAAAAACTTTTAGTTCATGTCGTTTAAAATCATTAGAAAAGAAATTTGGAATACTAAAAGTAGTTTTGACTTGAAATAATAATGTAATGTATCGTTTATAATATCAAATTTCAATTGTAATTTGAGAAATAAATGATTTTTTTTAATAATTACTCAAAATATATCAAATAAGTAATTTAATGAATTTTATATAGTAAATATTTAAAAACTATAATAGTTACTTATATTCTTTTATAATTTATATATAAATATTATATTTTAAATATTTTTATAGATTTTATTTTATTTTATTTTTATTTTTATTTTTTTAATGAACTAATTTATAGTTTTGGAAGAGATTTGGCAAATAATACTATATATTAAATTATTTTAAATTTTTATTTTTTCATATTATTGTTAAAAGTCACCATAAGATTATTTAAAAGTTAATAGATTGTATGATTAGTATTATACCTTATTACAAGTAATATATATATATATATATATATATATATATTCATATACATATATAGAGATATTTTTTTTAAAAAATATTATAAAAGTCTACAACTTCAAAAGCTTGTCATTGTGTCAAGGACATGAACTTGAAGAAGATGCATAAACTTGTGAAATCCGTGTCAAAAGAAAAGTGACGAAATACAAATAAAAAAGTATGTATATTAAAAAGAAATTAGAATGGCTATTACCAAAAGACAAGGAAACTAGAGACTCTTGAATCTAGACTAGAAGCAAGAAAATAAGTGACAAGAGTGAAGAGGGCTTCACTCTTGCCCTTATATATACTATCTAACTAGAAGCTATGTGGCGATGTTCTATAGGACTTCTAATATATGTTGACTTTGCAAGACACATATCTTAGTTTACAAAGCAAGTTCTTTATGTGTGGACTACATAATTAGCTTGTTCTTCAAGTTACCAATATGTATGGCACATGGCCAACTTATTGACCATGTTTTTAATCTAAAAAGTCAATTATAGACACCTATAAAGTCATAGCAACGTCTATGAAGCTTCTACAAAGTGTGTATAGAAGATATTATGGAATTAACCTACTTTTATCTACTTTTATCTAATTAAATATGTAATTATTGGTTTACATGTGTATATCCATAACACATTGAATGAAATCAAGTAGTCTCTTTTAATTGGTTTAATATTTAAAGAAATTAATTGAAAGACTGTAGAAAAAATGAAATAAAGTAGATTGTACCTTATTTCATCTATATGGCAAAAGTAGTATTATCTCTTAGGATCTGTATTAAGTCCAATTTAAAAGGTGATTTTATGCAAAATTTAAAAGTTGTAATAGATATTGTTATAAAAATCTATTGAAATAACTTTTTTTATATTGGTCATGAAGGTCACAACCATTATGTGAGATACTACTTAGAATAATAAATGAGTAATTTGATCCATATAAAAGTAGCTTCTTAATTAATGTTCCATTTAAAAATAGAATATTAAAAATAACAACTTTTAATCACCAAATAGAAGACCTATATAAAGCTTTTAAACTATACCTTAGGTAGACTTTTTAGATCTAAAAATCTCCTAAGTAACTCAATTGACTATATTTATATAGAAATCTTATAAGTTTTTATTATTGATAAATGACTTTATTAAACATGTATGTTTATACTATTGCAAAAAATTACAAGAAGAAGCCATAAAATCCTTATAGATAAAAAAAAATAATAGAAAAATAATACATTTAAATGTAATTATGTAATTATGTCTTAAAATAAAGTGTAGTTTTTTAAAGATCTTAATTTTTTTAATTTTTTTTTTAATTTAAATAATCAAATTACACTAAATATCAAAGTCAAGCAAAAATACTAATGTGTTTTTATTTATTTATCTTAATGTAAGTATTTTCAAAAAATAGATTAAGATATAATAATAGCTTGTTCACAACAATTGTTAAAGTTTATTTTATTTTTTAAAATAGTAAAAAATAGACTAATGAATCCATTATAATACATTGTAAAAAATACAATGTAAGCATCCAACAATTACACACCATGCACAAAACCATCATCTCAAAACACCAATTTCTTTCATTTATGAAGAGGGAATTTGCACAACTTCTTTGCACAACAAATTGTCACATTACAAAGAGGATATAGAAGCAAATGATGTAGCTAAGAGTCTCTCACTCTCTTTCAACATGGGAGTGAAGTGGGGCGTTGTTTTCTCTTTACAATTTCTACTACGTTGAAGTAAAGTGCGATGCCATTCTACACCTAAAACAAAAAAACACGAAACAAAACAAAACAAAACAAGAAAGATGTGCGGCACACGCCGAGGGGACGAGCTTTCTGAGGCTCTGCAACGAAGCTTGTGCAGAATCTGACACAGAATCACGCAAATCCCCCGCACGCATGTTGCCAAGCCTCGCGCGATCACGACGACGATGGGATTGCTTAACTCACCGTTGCATTTGAGCCGAGGAGGAGGAGGAAGAGCAGGGACTCGTGTGGCGCTGATCGCAGAAACATATCCCTGTTGAAATCTTTAAGTGTCGCTGTTTCTCGTCTTGTTTTGGTTTCAGTACTTGAATCCCATCGCTTGCTCGCGTTGATTAGGTCGCAAGCGCTGTAAAAAGAAACTTGTGGGGTGCGGTGGATTTTGCACTATTGCCTTCCTTCAGAGCGACTTGCTAGGGAACCAGCTCGAGAATCAGCTACAACCCATAAGATCTGCGGTATGACCCCTTTCTCTGACTTGCAATGGCTTGGTTGGGAAAACTGGGTCATGGTAGTGTAATTCGAAGCTTTGATGGCGGATGCAAGCTTTACGAGAGTCCAGGTAGAAGGTTCCGTAATGTGGATCTCTCATGCATTTGACTGCGACTCCCTCGGGGATGTGCGATTGATTGTGGAGCTCGGGTGCATGATTCCCAGCATCGTCTACCTACTCCGGTTTCATCCTTAAGTTGGTTTTTTGGTGAATGCTTGATGGCTAGTTGATGGTTAACTAGTCGATGCGTAGCCGAGTTGTACGCCCTGGTTTCCAATGGCCGCATGAGGTTTTACGCCAGCTTCGTCGTCAGGGAAAGTCAGAGTCAAATGCTGACGTCCATGACGATGGTGTTTGCTCACTGCTGTTGATGTTCTTTGTGAACTTTCTATTAGGATCTGCTTTTCGTCAGTCGCTATCATTGGAGGGCAGCGTGGTTTGAGGAGTTTGAATTCTCTGCAGTGCCTGTGTCGGAAATTCCCGCAGATTTTTCAGAGAGTTTGAGGTGAATGCTGAGATTATGAGGTTGTGGAATTGTCGGAGGGGGCGATCCGAGAGCTTGCAGAGTTCGGTTTATGTGTCGGAGCGGGATTTTGAGTTTCAAGCCCTTGGTTGGGGAGGTTGGTGAGGATGTTGAGTGAGGTTGAAGGTGTAGATTGAGGGTTTTGCAGTGGTGGTGGTGGTGATGGTGGTTTTTGTATTTATATATATATATATATATATATACATTTTTTTGTCCATTTCAGGGCTTCGGGTAGTCTAATGCCTGGTCGTCGTGTTGTGAATCTTGAAGTAAGGTATCTGCATTCGTCAAGTGAGAAGTTCACCGCGAGATCTGGATTTCTCCAATCTCAGATTTTGAGGTTACTCCGCGGAGGAAGGAGAAGGTGAGTTGCCCTGAAATTGAATTTGCAAAAGAGTTTGGATCTGGTTTTACTTTGTATCACTTCAGTATTAAGTGCATGGAGATCTCGTGGGAGGCACAGATGGGGAAATGTGAAATGCGAGTAGGGAGAATTTAGTTACGAAGGCAACTTGCATTCCGAGGAATATGACTTTAGGTTCTGACTAGAAATGGCGAGACGATCCCATGGTAAGAAAAGTCGGAACCGTCACGATTGCCAAAGTTTTGGTGAGGAGCCCGGAAAGAAGATTGGAAATGGTATAGTTGCAGAGTGTACACATTAGAGACGTGATTTCACGAAATTTACTTCAACAGAGCAGGAATATGGAGCATCTGAACTTTGCTGCTACGCTCTTCATCGTACACGCCTCATGGCCTTCTCGGAACAGTACGTGGAATTTTGTCTAGGTCCCGTGAAAGCTAAAATAAAGTTCCTCTCGAGAATCTACGTTAAATGTATATATCGATGCTAATACATTCTGCCATTGATAACGAGTGTCGTGGTTAGTGTTAATAACGAGAACCAGAATGGAAGTGGATCTGCACACATTTGCAGACGTCATGAGAGGAATTTAGGATAAGATTTTTTTATTTAGGAAGGTATGAGACTGAGGAGCGCATTTTTATATTGCTACTGCGTTACGTTTATGTGAATAGTACATTCTTCTACGTGTCTCGCACAATGCGTTTGCTGTCATTTTAAATTTTTGCAGTTGCCACGACCTCTTCACATGAACCTTGGTTGAATTCTTAGAGCTCACATGTGATGGCAAGGATATAAAGTGGACTGTTCAATGCAGGTTGGCATCATGAAGGAAAACGTATTGTGATGACCTGGTGCAATAAGCTCTTGGAGTCGACCGCCTTGTTCTTCTCGTTCGATTACTCCCTTCAATGAGCTCCCTGTGTTTTCCAAATTAGAAGACGAGCTACCGAAGATGTCCGGTGTGGAGGCGGGTGTGGGTTGGATGTTATCGCCGCCTCCTAGCAAGGATAATGGGGGAGCCGCTCACTGTAGCCCACATGGGCTGGTTGCTTACGGTGCAGGCAGCAGCGTGGTTGTGGTGGAGCCTCGATCCATGCAACTCGTCACGGTACTGCCCATGCCTTCCCCCAAGAGTATCTCTTTGCAACCAGCTCCTTTTGTGACGGCTGTGCAGTGGATTCCAGAAGGAATTCCTCGTGACCTCGCGGGACAGGATGTCTCTACAGCTCATCTGCAATTAGCAGTGGGTGATCGACACGGTCGTGTTGCCATTTGGGATGTTGCATCAGGGGATATCAGCACATGGCTAGACGTTGATACTGAGAAGGGAAGACAAGGTATTCAAGACCTATGTTGGGTGTATGGGCAGCCATGGTTACTGGCGGTTATTCATGGTCCTACATGTTTAAATATTTGGGATCCTAGAACGGGTCGTTGTATATGGAAGTTCGACTCAGGTGGTGAGCTTCTCGGATGTGTGAGAGCCGATCCCTTTGATTCTCGACAGTTTTGTCTGGTCGGGCTCCGGGGCCTACTAATGACGATTCTTGTAGGAGGAGTTCCAGAATCTGAAATACTCACCAAGCAGTACATAATCTCTGGGCAAGATGAGAAAGGGTCAATGGTTGAGAAAAGTAAAGATGGAAGTGTCACTTCTGGATCATCATCATCTGGAGCACCTGCTCTTGCATCCTCACCTGGGATCATTGTCCGATGTATGTACTCCAGGACTAGAAGAGGCTTGGTTTACGTAATGATGCCGCGTGAAATAGTGATTTTTGACCTAGCCTTTGGAATGCCCTTAGCTACAACGTCCCTGCCACCCGGTTGCTCGAAACTTCTCGATCTTTTGACGTGCATAGATGGTGACGTTCTGTATTGTGCTCACCAGGATGGCAAAGTCAGTGCCTGGAGAAGAAAAGAGTATGTCCTTTCAGCACCTCAGTACGAGTTGCTTCAAATTAGTTATAGATTCTATTCAGTACATTAGTTTGTCGGTTTCAGTTTTTCATGTAAGATGCCTTTGCTGTAAATATCTGTGTATGTATCCTGCACAATCTTCTAGTAGTTTTCATTTTGGCTGCAAGTGGTTTAGGTTACTTTAATGACTGGACTTCGGGGGATGCTTACTTAGGGGTATGCAGGTCTTTACGATGTGCCTTATGAGTACGTTGATGCCATCCATCGGATCCCCTGTTCCTGCACCAGCTGTCCTTGCTGTAATTCACTGCCCTTTGCAGCTTCAAATGCAGACATCCTCCAACGATGACCAGTCTGGTAGTCTGCAGGTTAATTCTCCTTCGGGAGCCATCCCTATCCCAAGCACATTTTCTCAAAATGATCAACTCTCCAAAGTTAAGGTTTCGTCTCCCCTCGAAGCCACGCTTTTATCTGTTTCTGATGATGGACGATTATGGCGCTGGGTTATCGATGACGATGGCACTGGAAGTGAGCCTGTATCTTTGAACGGAACAAAGTTGACGCCCAGGGGTTCCGGAGAGCTCAACACTATTGGGGAACCTTTGCATTCCATATCAGATGGCTTCAATTCTGAAATGCTTTTCAAGGTGTATTCAACTTCTGCCAATTAGAGTGATCATGTGTTCAAAATTTGGGATTTTATTTCTGATAGAATGTATAGAAAGCACTACCCTTAAAGTTTTCTTCTCGTCCTTTTTTATCTTTGTTTTTCCCTACGGGTTTCAGTGTCCTAAAGGGTGATGGGTATCTTTTTTGCCTACAGCTTGATCTGACGGGACAGCTACAGCTTCTTTCATCAGCTGTGTCCACTTTAGCTGTCCCAATGCCCTCAATGCTTTCTATGGGTCATGGTAAGTGATACTTTTGTGCTGAAGCATACCCGTTTGAGTTAAGTTCGAGTATGTTCAACTGGTCACTGTTCGCTGATCACTGGTAATGTTGGGTATGTCAATGGGCCTAAGTTTGTTTTTAAATATGATGCTTTTGTTGTTATCTGGTGAGGAGCCTCGAATTCGTCTGTTTCAAGACAACCGAATGTTATGCAGGGGGAGAAGGAAGCAATTTTGGGGCAGTATCAATTCCCCTAACGGCATTAGCCTGCCAGGGAGGCAATCTGGAGCTTGTGGATTCAGCTGCAAACACAATTACTGCCTCATTTTCTGTTCACAACAATCAGCCTGTTCGAGGTGTTCGCTGGCTTGGAAATACACGCCTTGTTTCGTTTTCCTACACTGAGGTCCTACATACTCTCAAATTCATGATGTATTTTGAGTTATTCCTACATAATTAGCTAACAACACCTACTGTAGTAATATATGGCTTCACTCCTTTTTTTGAAACTCGACGGAATTTTTTCTTCGGTAGCTTTCACTACACATTATTCTGCTTTTTTGCGGGACACGAAGTTGCACCATTTAACAAGTTCCTCGTCGTTTGATCCATTATGAAAGACATGTTAATTCTACAGAGAATGGATGGGGCATATTGTGCACCAGGTGAAGGGTAAAGGGGGCGGATTCGTTAACCGACTGGTTGTAACATGTGTGCGTAGTGGCCACAGCAAAGTTCTTCGAGTGATACAAAAGCCAGAGCGCTCTCCGATGCGTGCTCTTCGCACCTCGCCATCTGGCAGGTCTGATCCAGTATTCGTTCGTAACTAAGTTCCATCATGCATTTAGAATTTACAATTTGGATTCAGAACAAGCTGTGTAGCAAGAGTTCTAATAGTAAACTCTTGTCAGACTCGTTAGACGATTCTGAAGAGCTCTAATTTAAGGCTCACTTGTTACGACTTTAAGTGTAATGTGCAATTAAATATAGAGGGTTTATTTCCTGTCGTTGGATAATTAGGTGTTCTACTGAGGTCTCTTTGTTATACAAGACGGAACTTTGTGATCGACGCCTTGTAGTTAGATCTGTTAATTCCGTCAGAACTGTCCGACAAGTTTCGCAGCTATTGCCAGCATGTTGCTCTTACGCAGACAGCTTATCAGGGTGATGTATATGACAGGTACCTTTTGATTTTGTTCAAAGAGGCTCCTGCAGAGGTGTGGGCTATGACAAGAACTCCACAGATGGTAGGTCTTGCCAATCTTTTCTCATTCACATAAGCATCAATTATTGTATAGAAGATCATTTCTGAAGTATATCTTTGGGTTTGAAGGTAAGAACACTTGCTTTACCTTTCACGGTGATGGAGTGGGCGCTTCCTCCGGCCCCAAAGGCAGCCGCTGCAGCAGCCGTCTCTTCGGCGAGAAAATCAGCCATGATGAAAGAGCAATCCACCATTGCCTCAGCAGCTGCTTCTTCTCCTTCTCCCTCAAGCGCTAGTGCAGGTGGTTCATTGTTTTATTTTTATCTCTATTATTGAATCTGTCAATAGTGTTACTTAATGGTTTCTCATTCTTAATACTAAGACTCATCTATGACTTGAAGAATTAGTGTTTCAGCATTTGTGCGCAATGGGTTTGATTTGTGTTTGAGCCATTTTATTTGATAACAGTGTCGTTTTTTTCTGGAGCAGATTCACAAGACTCTGAAAATGCTGAAAGTTTTGCGTTTGCTTTGGTAAACGGTTCAATTGGGGTTTTTGAGTTACGGAACAGACGAGTTCAGAACTTCAGGTAATTTTTGTATCCGCCGAAAGGAATGAGTGTTAAAATCGTACGAGATGGGCGTAATTTTGTAATTAATCCTGAGAGCCTTGCCTTATTTCGTATGAAAACTGAAAGTTGAGCACTCAAACTTCAGAACATCGGCACAGCTTGTGTATGTGCACGCTGGATACTCAACATTCCACCCTTAATCAAGAAATTTCTCTAAGCACGATGTCCGTAATTTCTCGTTGTCGTATTTAGGTACTCTGGATCGTTATGTTTGTATATAATAAGTACGGAACATTGCATTTTTTGGTGCTACAGTACTTAAATGTTCTCGATTCGGTTTGCAGGCCCAAATGGCCTTCCTCTTCTTTTGTCTCAGCGGATGTGCTAATAACCGCAATGGCGTATCGCACACCTCATGTGGTATTGCCATTCATATTCCTGGTTTATCATTATGCTAATTGAAGATTCAATTTGTGCACCCGCGTAGAATACATTACCTGTCCGAAGTCGGAGGGAACTCTTTGCAGGCCCTAAAAATAATTAGTGTCTTTCCTTGTAAGATGAGTTTCACAACCTCGGCTATTCAAGAGTTGAACTGTTGGCAGTGCAATATTTATCACTTCCGATTGCTTGGTGGATGTACTGCCATCAGTCAACTAATATTGATGATTCAGGATATTTGTTGAGTAAAAACGCGTCTGGTCTGGATGCAGGTTATGGGAGACCGAACAGGAAATATTAGATGGTGGGATGTAGTGACAGGGTTATCATCTTCTTTTAGCACTCATCGTGGGGGCGTTCGCCGCATCAAATTTGCACCTGTGAGGATTGGAGATCCTACCAGAGGTCGTATAGCTGTCCTCTTCAACGACCATAGTTTTGCTGTGTATGATCTTGTAAGTATTACATAGTTGTTTCCTGGAGAAGTACTAATTCTATCAAGGATGTTTGTTTGGAGAAATCACTCTTTGATTTGTTGCTCTGTTAAAAGGTCATTGTTTACATGTGGCATGGGTTTGAGAGTACCCGGCCATGTACAGCTACGGTGCTTGTCACTTTAGAATGTTGCTGATTTGGAAATTTTAAATCACTGTTTTGGTGTTCCTGATGCAGAAGGTTTCTTGTATCATTATATCTGTGATGAATTCATGGGGTCATATGATTTGGGTCTTGAAGCTGATTCTTTAGTGACAAGTTCAATTGACGCGTGATCATGATTGCGCAGGATACCCATGATCCATTAGCTCACACTCTAGTTCAACCGCACCTTGGAAGTATATTGGTGCTGGAATTAGAATGGTACCCGCTACGTGTAGACAAGAATGAGCCTTTGCTCTTGTGCATAGCAGGAGCAGATGGTAGTTTCCGACTTCTGGAGGTTCAAAAGTAAGATATGCATGAAAGAACCCTGACATTTCTTAAAACTAGAACATATGGTGATCCTGTGGCATTTTGTATCTGTCGTCTTGGTTTAGCCTCCCTAAAAGTGAGGTGAATTGCTCTCTCTTCGGTGGAAGCCCGACTTGTTCGCAGGTGATGTATCCTTTATTTACTTTCGAATTAACATACAATATATACACCACATATGCCTACATAGATTTTTAAAGTGGAAATCTAGGTGAATCGCGGATTCATTTCATCGATGAATTCCACCCTTCAGTTATCTGATGTGACAAATATTCGGATGGTGTAGTTTTGTAGGCGGCAAGTCTGGTCAGCTGGCAAAGCCAACGCAATGGCAGCGTTACCGACCCATGCCCTTGTGCTGCCCAGCCTTGCTTCCACCTCCTCATGCTTTGGTAAGAGTGGTCGTGAACTCAAATGCAAGAATATTGTAATGTATGAAACGTATCTATTACCTTCTTGCTCTGTCCATGATTAGCTGTTCATCTCCATCAGGATGAGCATTGTCTTTAGATGTACCTACATTGTAGTGTCACATTGACGCTTCATGTTAGTGTGTCGTCGATATTTCTATTGCTGCTTGTCGGTAGTCAAAGGGATACGGTCACTTGCTTTCCTGATTTCTATGATGGATATGGTGCAGTCTTTGCGCGTTTTACTACAGCAAGGAGTGCACCCTTCCTGGTTCACAGTAGAGACAGCATCCACAGGAGAAGCAAGTTTTCAAAGAACTCCAAGTCAGGCTTTAGGGAGTCGTGGCGGGGATTTGCGGCACTACCTTCTATCAAATCAAAATCCTATTTTAAGAGAGACTGTTTTTGCTGAGGTTTTGTTGAAAGCTTTGGAACCGTATCGAAGAGCAGGTGAAGCAACTGAATTTTGTTTTTCACATGAGTCTGTTACTGAAAACTTTAACTAGGAAATTAGAAGTGTTTTTCTATCCCATATGCAAGACCTTTTGTCGACTCTTTTGTGCCCTTTGGTAGGTCATTTGTTGGACGAGGAGAGGAAAGAACAGTATGCAGCTGTGTGTAGGCAAGGCGTGGCTACGAGGTGTGCTTTCGCAGCTGCACAGTTTGGAGAGTACTCGGAGGCTGTGTTCTGGCTTCAACTTCCTCGAGCGCTCGCTCTCCTTAGTTATGGTTCTGCTGGACCAACTGGATTCTGGAGAACCACGAAGAAAGAACATTCCTCTGCAACAGAGCAAAAGCCCCAGGAATCTGAAGGCAAGGATATTTGCACGTCCGAGGTTCCAGTCAACAAGTCTTTAGATCGTGAAATGTCATTCAGAAATCCTAAAGTTGCTACACCATATTCTCCGGAGGGTGTTCTGCCTGGTGCTCCTTTTAAGCTGGTAAACTACATCAGATTCTACTCTTCGATATTGATGAATATTACAGCTGAATATCTTGAATTTTGTACCCTTTCGCAATTCCTACTAAAAGATATCAAAGTGGGGTCAAAACGTTTACAATCCCCTCACCATAATGTATTCTCTCAAATATTTGACCTCCCTAAAATGCTCAATAAAAGCATTGCTGCTTGCTACGAAATTCTAGCTATGCATTTTTTTCGTCTGACTCGGGCATGTGCAATGGAACGTGGAAACAGACACATGGATGCATGGATATCTTGCCTTCTGAGCAATCAGTAATTCGGTCAGTTGCGCGGGAGCGAATTGGCTGGCATGAAAAGTTCACAGGAACGGAAGCCAATCAAAGACGAGTGCATGAGTAAACCTTACAATCTTTTTCTCTCTGTTTTGAATATTCTTTCAGTACTGACATGCAGAAGCTGAATTTTCATTACTGCGAATCCCAGAAAAAAGTCTCGCGTGTAAAGACAACTCGAGCACTTCACGCATGATCATTTGAAGTTTCTTTTAGCGTATACCAAGATTGATTTCTAAGAATAGAATTATCCTTGAAGGGAAATTGTTAATCATGACATTGAATTGGAGTCAGCACTGCACTTTATGAACAAGCAAGATCTGCTCAGCTTGCTTTCAACAGTGTCATTTTCTAAGTGCTGTGTTGGTTGGTGAATAACATCGTTTTGTCTGGATGCTTGCACTTCATGACATATACAACGCAATTTTTTTCTCTAGGTTAATTGCCATAGGAGATTTTGAGTCTGCTGTGACATTGCTGCTGGCGACGCCTCCAGACAATCCTCTGTTCTACATGGATGCGCTAAGAGCTGTGTCTCTAGCCTCTGCTGTGTCAAAAGGACTGCATGAATTAGCCGTGAAGGTGAGATAGTCAATGTCCTTGATATTGTTGCAAGTTAAGAACAGATACAGGTGCTTTGATACGTCAATTAATGTGCTTACAGTTGCAGAGCTTAAATCTTTTTCGTGAAAGTGCGAAGGTGATACATTTTTTTTCAGGTGGTTGCTGCAAACATGGTGGGAACGGATGATTCATTATCAGGAACACATCTTCTTTGTGCGGTTGGTCGGTACCAGGAAGCTTGCTCCCAGGTACGTGAAACTCTTTTCTGAGCTTTTTGTTGGAAATTAAAGAAGCCAGTCCTAGAGATTCTCATAGGCTGACATGTATGACATGAAACGTATTAGGTCCCATAAGAAAATTTAACTAGAATATGAAAATTTGGATGGTGGGCCCACCATAGAGTCTGTACACATGCTGCATATTATGTCAGACCTCATGTGTTTTTGGAAGGCTATGATAATCCAGTAAAGGTTACATTCCACCTTATCCAATGTAATACGATACAAGATATGTGTGCCATATTTAGAAATTATAAGATTGTGTTTGGTGAATAGTTGATAGTCTAGCAATATCGCCAAAGAGCTACGGGAAGATGACATTGAAGATGGGTGAGAAAACAATCTGGAATTCCACATGCAAATGAGAATCACAGATTGGTTCTGTTTACTGTTTTAAAGTGCTCTTGTAACGCAACCCTAGAAACTGTTTTAGGGACAATTATTTTTCTTACTTTTCTTGAAAAATAATTCCTAGTCTAGTAATCTTGCCCCGAGACTTGTACTTTGTGAACGAAACGCATGCCGTGGACTTAAGAAATTATTTTAGATTGCCATGTGTGACAACATAAACAGGAGTTAGTCTCATTATTTATTTTGGCCTTTTTAGTTGCAAGATGCAGGTCGCTGGGTTGATGCCGCAACATTGGCGGCAACTCATCTGCAAGGTTCAGATCACGCAAGGTCTGTTCTTTTGATATGTATTTTCTACATGGCTTTTTCTTCACTTTTGACACGTCATCAACACTAAATCTATTTGCTGTTCCTTCTCTAACGAATCCATGATTATTCTAGGGTCTTGGAGAGATGGGCTCATCATGTACTGAATAACGAACGCAATCTTTGGAGGTATGCCTATTTAGTCTTCATTACCTTTGTGTGATACAAGGTTTTAGATTGAGGTGCCGTAAAAATTGTTGACAAGACGCTTTGATAGATTCCTAGACTCTTTTCAAAAAAAGACATTCTGTTTAGCTGAACTTCAAGATACATGATTATAGATATTAACTCATATCCGCCTTTCAACAAAACCGGCAGATTTAGTACATTTAACGAAATGAGAAATAACTTCTTTACAGAATTCATATTTGATTACGTCATACTGAAGTCATAGAATTCCAGAGACCAGTTTTATTTTTTTGTGTGTCTTTTTTCTTTTTCTCTTTCTTGTTTTTTTCTTTTCCAGATATACCAAATGATTGCATACACACTTCATTTGATAAATTGGGTCATGCAAACAATCATTGCAATCCGTGCAGGGCTATGATGCTATTTGTAGCAGCGGGTGAACTAGTTGAGGCCCTGGCCACGCTCCGGGACGCTAAACAACCCGACACGTCGGCCATGTTCCTCTTGGCTTGCCATGAGGCTAAAGTAACTGCGAAATCCTCTTTACCGGACATGATGGAACCAGAAGTTGCAGGTGGTGATGATTTGTTTGATCTGCCAGGAGATCTAGCTTACCACCACGATGATGTGCAAGCGGTGTGTGAATACTATGGGGAATATCAACGGCATCTGGCACATGCTTGCACAGCTAATGGGACTATCATGGATTAATTTTGGTAATAGCTTCATTCTTTCAGCATCTTGCCACTAGTAATTAGCAAGTAATTCGTTTTTGACGTTATCGAGCTTGAGCATAGACAGTGTAGTAGTGTTCAAATCTAGGGCAGACGAATTGGATAATTCTTTTGTTCATTTTCAGCAGCTATAAGGTCAACCACCTTCGGGTCTGTTTTATCGTCATAGTTACAGCTGAAGGTCGAAAGCAAAGGCTTTAGTTGCGTGATCTCGTGTGAGCACACAGCTCAACCTCGCAGCATACAGCTACCAAAAAGTCCGTGGTGCCTTAAACAGGAGCCGTTCAGCTAAGAAAATGTAAGAAATTCTCCTCTACCATTTTATTGTTTGTCATTCAATCGTGTGCTTTTTACGCATCGAACCTTGCAACTGTTGCTGATTCTAACTATGAGAAAATTATGGTGCAGCACCAAGGTCATTTATTGAACAAAGATGGGGGTTGAATGTCTTATTTACCAAAGCTATTATTCATTTTGAGTGCTTCAATGCTATGAGTGTCTTTTGTAGTTCCATTCATTGGCTGTGACAATAATGCTGCATTAGAGGCCTTGTTCAAACGAGGTCGAAAGATGTGAAAACACCAATCTATATCTTTGATGGGCCCAGTTCATGGCTTAGCTGGATTCCATGCTGAAGCATCAATTATTCTTATTTTCTTTTGAAGATATGCATTGTGCTTAGCTAGTTACAAGTGCAGGAAGCCCAGCTCAACACCCACTTTCTCCTTCTAAGAATCAAATATCGCTTCATATATCACATTTGTATTCATGTCATTTGTCCATGTACTTCAGAGCTAGAGGTAACCAAAATTGCAAGAGCTTCTATTTCACTCACTTTTAATAAGTTTTTTGTAGGATTTTAAATTTTAAATCAAACGAAAATAAAAACAAACAAGAAAATCAAAGAAAATTGTAGAAGATTAGATATTGGGTGTTAAAACCGTTTTCTTTTAAAAAAAATAATTAAAAAATAAACAAAAATTAAGAACTTTTTCAAATTATACTCTTTATAAATAAGAAAATTGTGGAAATAAAAGTAAACTAAAATATCTTAAATATCCATCTGTTTTTCACTAAAACTATTTTTTAAAAAAAATAAATAAATAATTGATTCTTTTAAACATGCATATAAACATTAAAGTTGAGCATATATTCTTTTTTATTTGAAGATTTTCTCAGCCAAAAGCTTGTAATAAAACACACTAATATAAGTATTGATGTTTTTTCTGTTGTCCAAAGGAACATTTTAAATAGCATGCTTAGGTGATTTTTTACTTTTCTCAAATATACTTGAAGAAGATTTATTATAGAATTTAATAATTGTATTGACATAATGTAATACTTTTTAAACTTCTATAAATTTCCTATGATAAATTGTATACTTAATTTTTATAAGCCCAAAATGTTATCATATCTTTGTATAAACAAATACATATATGAGGACTTTTGTGGCATCTTTGATCTATCTTCAAGATATGGTTGTACTATTTAGCCTAAACACATAATTTTTCATGTGTCATTTTTATGTCTATGCAGGATTTGGCTTTAGATTGATTTTTATTTTTTCATTTTCTTCATTTTTTAGAATATAGTCAATATATTTCCAAGACTAATAATTTATTCTTATAGATGATAAAAATAAGTCATCTTTATATCTTCTTAATTATTAATATTACTAATTCATTGTGAAATAATATTTTAATAAAAAAATAAAAAATAAAATATCTGTTTCAATTAATACTTTCATGAATACTTTAAGAAATAAGCATAAATACACCTTTTATAGTAAAAATCACATTTATTCATATGTGTCTCAAAGAGACTATAAAATTCTAAAAAAAATTGCTTTAACATTTATGAGTACTTAATCTTAAATTGTTTTATTCTTAAATTGTTTTATTTTACTTTGTGGTCGTTTTTTTTCCTTTACCTAAGCTAAAAGTGAATATTTAAGATTTAAAATAAATTTACAAAAAGATTTATAAATAATATTATGTTAAAAACATTAAACTTAGTTGTATTGATACATCAAATGTACATGTCATGGATTTTAAGGTTTATTGACAACATTACTAGGTGTTATAAAATGTTGACAACTATGTGTATATATATATATATATATATATATATATATATATATAAAAAAAAATTTATAGTTCATATCTCTATGTAATATTTTCATGTTTTCTATGAATTTTGTAATATTTTGAAATCATATTATCCACAAAGCTATTGTTTTTTCAATTATATTATTTATACTTAATAAGTATAAATCTTGATAAAAATAAATCAATTTAAAAGAATATGATTAATTTTTTCCAATAAAGCATGGTGTTTTTATAGATTCGAATATGTATTTAAAATAATAAAAGAATCAAATTAAAGTCTATGAACTAGACAACTTTTTCATTGTTTTGAAACATGTATTGTTAAGATTGAGGTATCTCTTATCTTCTCTCTATATATACTCAAGCAACTATGTCCTATAAAACTTTTTAGAAGATGTTTTATGAATTAAAGGATATTTTAGAAAAATAGAGAATTTTACATGGAATATTTTAGAAGAATTTGGGTTACTATTAATAATTATAAAAGAATATAAAAGTTTCAAGAAGATTGCATGAAGTTGTAGAAATTTCTTAAATAGTGTGTTAATAACTTTTTATTGCAACACCACTAAAAAATATTATTGCACCAATTTGTAATGCATATGTATTTTAACAATCTTCCTACTACAACACTTTGTCCTAACAATCCTTCTTTTCTAGCTTTTCTTAGTCACTTCACACCATCTAGGATTGCTCCTCAATAAATAGTGTTCCACTTGGCACTAACTTTGTCTAACATCATATTAAAAACTTAGCAACTACTATATCTTTCAAATTCTTGGAAGTATTAAGTTGTTTTTAGAAATTTAATATCCTCACTAGATAAATTTTTACTTTAAATAAATTTGTCTCTTTTGCTATCCTAATTATGGCTAAGATCAAACAATCTTCTTTATAGTTGGATGTTCACATCAAAAAAATTATTCAAATTTGGATGTATAGGAATCAACAACAATTTTAAACTATTAAAAAAAAAAAAAAAAAAAAAAAAAAAAGCAAGTTGGTACAAAGAATTGCCAGATGCAGGTTGGTACAAAGCTTCAACTTTTTGATGTAAAAGCCCTAACTTTGTTGGATGAATGCTAGAATAGAAACATCAACTCTGATTTATTAACAGAAAATCAAACGAACCAACCAACAAAAAAGTTCTAAAAATGGGTTTGAGAGCAAATTCTCAAGATTCCGGAGTTTGTGGGTCTGCGACCTCTCGTTGTTGTTTGAGAGCAAGTTCGGATTCAGAGATATGCTTGTTTTACTTCGTTGTCACATTTCAGAGGCAAATGTAAACGCAGGCAAGGGAGATGTATGAATGTATGTGAAGGTTATAAAATTGGCTCAGAGAGTGCCCGCAATCTGTGTCTTTCTAGGCACCGGGACTCAGTTCTAGAATTCATTCCTTTTCGATTGTGGTTGTGGTGGTGATGGTGATGAGTTCCTCTTCGGCCACACAAAAACAGTATGTGTGGCATTTGGTTTCAAGGCACTAAAGTCTGCTTGCTCGAGGTTCACGTGAGGATAGTACACAAGGTGACCGGCCCTCGACAATCTGACAAAGCGCAGCCCGAGTCATATTTTCGCATTGTATCAGCCACCGTAACCGAACATCGATCTCAACATCGATTGACAACGAAGAGTGTGACAACTTTGAGCACATAAAACATAAAAACCCCTTCCTTCGACATCAAAACTGTGACTTTGTTCTATGTGGGTCGCTGTGTGAGCTTCAGTTTTCTATTTGTCTGATACTCTACAACCCTGCAACCGTGTCAAATGGCAAATATCAGAGAGAGAGAGTAGCATTCGTATCGATCGTTTTCCGTTGCGTTTTCGTGAATCTCGTTTGTCTTAAACGTTTTTTTTTTTTCTTTCGGTTGTGAGCTGAAAAAAAGTAGCGTGTGGGTTTTTTTGGCTTTCTCACTCCTGATTGTTTGCTTTGCAGTAGCCAGGAATACAAGCGTTCTCTGGCTACAGTTGTATCTTCTGATGAGCACTCCAGGTTATTATGAGACGGTTCTTTCTTTTTTGCAAGTGAGCGCTTCATGATCGGTGAATCCCTTGGCAATTCTGACACCTCGCAAGCAGTTTCCACTACATCAAATTACTCTCATTACTGGACTGCTTTTGTTGCTTCATCTTGCATTGTCCAATTTTCACACCGTTAACTGACACACCAGAACGCATTCTATTACACTTGCACGATTGGAGATTACATGACTGAATCTGGAATTCACATCTTGCAAAAAAATTATTGTATATATTTGAATTAGCGAATACTTTGAAAAAGATGGCAATGGAATTTTTGGTGTACACGAAGTTGTTCAATTCGTTTCATCTTCGGACTTCGAAACGTCTCCAAATTATCCACAGCAATTATTATCCTTCTGTCCTTGCTTTGAAGGACTTCGCGGTTATTCAAGCAGTCAATAAAGTGGATGAGAGAAATGCGATTTCTTCTATCTTTGCAATAACTGTATGTGATGTTACCCAAGAATTTATGAAGCTGGATTCACTTATTCTATCATGGTAAGACCCCAAAACAACCAGAAATTAATATTACTTCAGCTTCTTCTTTTTGTAACATTATGTTCTCTCAATTTGTGTGGGTGTCATAACCAATCTTCTGCTTTCTCATCCTACACCAGGAAGGGACACCCTTCAAGAACAGGCTTGCAGCAAAAAGAATTAAGAAATAAAATAATAAAAATGCTTAATTCTGAAGGTACTCTTGAAAAAGATATTTCAAGGTATTTGATGTGTAGCATTGTGTCTGTCATTCACAGATTAGTACATTCCAGAAAGGAAGTGTTCATGCTTTCCACGTAGGAACTGGAAGGCGCTGCTTCCACTTGTACATAATGCAATCCGTAATTGGATTTATCACTGGTTTTAGGGCTCAATTGTTGTCTACAAAGATGCTTTGTATATATTTTCAAGGATGAGCCAGTAGTCTATTAAAATGGACACTCTGCAGCAACAATGGATCCTCAGCTGTCAGCATTGAAGTGCAACAAGGAGAAATATAATCATACCAGGGCTGTACTATACCCATGAAACATGTAGTTTGCCAATTTTATTGTTGTGATTTCTGTTCTTTGAATTATTGAGGCATTTCCAAAGGAGCAATCAAAGTGCAGCCCATTTACCTCTGAACTTAAAAGAGGCTTGGTTGCCCATTAAGTAACTGTACAATTGTCTTGAATCATGCCAGGTTGGAGTGAATACTGAAAAAAAGATTATCCTCACTAATATTTGCCATTCATTATGAGTAAATGTCATGTTAAAAAAAAATAGAAAAAAACTTTGACATGAAATTGCCAAACAAAAGAATTGCCCAACACCTAGTGACCTCCATCTCCAAGGCTTTTATTTGAGTTTAAAATTGAGATATCACCAATGTTTTAATTGAAAATCAAACTGCAGCTGTACAGCTTGTCATTGTAGATGCACAAACGCAGAATCAACATCCAGATGTGGAGACATGCCATAATGATTCAACAGGGCACTCAAATATCCATAGCAATGAAAATGAAAACTTGAAGAATGATTGAAACTTGGGGACACTCTCTGACAATGTTGCTACCATTTAGAGAAGCAACATCAGTGGCAATAGTAGTCTCTGTGTGCTGTAAAAAAACCATTATGTCTCCTCCTCATGTGAGATTGCCCATGTCTACATTTGATGAGATTTTAGGAGATGGGCCATAGCCTGGCAGCAGCCCTCCTTGAAGGCTTGGATCCAATTGTCGAGTTGAATGCCATATGCATGTTCAAGTCACAATCCATGAAGACCAGTTCAATGTAGCAGCAGCAGCAGCCATTGCAAGTGAAACCCCATAACTGATAGTACCATTGTCAGGGAAGGTTCACCATACCTCTTCTTCCTATACCTTCTTAATATATGCAGCAAGCTGTTAAAGCAATCAAAAAAACTGCATAGTAGCTTGCAATCACTAGCCTTGAGTTGCAAGTTTTGAACACCTCATGCATGATCCAGAGCATCATGAGGCCATGAGGAGAGGCAGTGAGAAAATGTGTGCGGAGAGAAACCAGCAATCAAAGTCTGCCTTTGTCTGTGGGAACTCCATAAGTCAGATGACACCCATTGCCTGTACCCTGAGTGGAGGCAAGCTGGGGTAACATGACAGCCAGTTGATCCTCACATGTGATCTGCAGTTTGATGAATAATGTAAGGTGCACCAGATATTGGATGTATGAACACAGCTACAGTTGTAAGCTAGCTATCATCCTCACTTACATATCAAGCCATTCTATCATGAATCCAGCCTTGCTTGACTGCCTGCCCCTGTTCCTTTCACAAAAAGGGTTCTCTCATTCTGTGTCCTGGCCACACCATGTGGCCAAGATACAGCAATTAAGATGTAATGAACTGAACCTCTTTCCAGTTTGGACCACTTCGACTTAGAACAATAACACCCTTAGTGTGCAATTCTCAAAAACAATTATTGTAAATGAAAGGGTCTTCTCTAGGACTCCCAGAGAATTGACCACATGCTCAGAGCATGGATTTGTGGCTGAGAGACATTTCAAGGTTTGAGGAGCTTTTAGTTCTGACACAGCAATTGATTTCTAAGCCTCCAACCCATCTTCAACTGCAAATTCATCCAAGCTTTAATAATATTAATAACAATGATGATGATAGTGAAGGGCATTATCTGTGATAAATGGCACAAAATCTGTTACCATTAAAGAAATGAGCATGGAGGTGGGTGCACCCAGGTCTTCTCAGGAGGCTGGCTAGTCAAACAGGAAAGCACGTGCAATCCACTAAATTTTTTACATTGAAATGTGATATTACATGAGATAACAGAGAAATAACTATCATGTCAAATAACAAGTTTAGATCACATAATTAGTAACATGAAAATAGAAATGATGAAGCTTGCCGAAGTTGAAGTCTTAGAGCGTTCTAAATTGTGAAATTGATAACATGAAGATACGAAAACACGGAAGCTTCCCCAAGTTCCTGAGTCGAATAACCTCGGCATAAACGAAGGACCTCATTTGCAAAGGATATAAAAATGGTCCTACACCAAGTAAAAGACGCCTACACTTGAAGTGAAGTGTCTCCAGTGAGAAAATACACGTCGATTATGTACAATTCGTCTGTGGAGAGCCCTGATGTAATAGAGATTGTCCAAAAAAATTGTCATATCTCTCCTTTATTGCACTTGGCAGAAATGGAATACATCATGCAATTGCATGAGACCTCCAAATGTGAGCTACTATAACAAAGAATGGAGTCCGCTCCGCAAAAATGTACAGAGTACGTGGACTCAGCTGTCAGCTTTACTCGACCTTGGAGCCCAACTTTGGAATATCCTGATATCGCTTCTGCAAAATCGAAACCCTAAAACGTAAACATTCTCTTTAAATCAAAAAAAAGCTTCCAGGATTTTTTACATAATATCTCAGTACATTTATACTTGACTTCTGAGGAAAACCATAAAACTTAGAGCTGCAGATTAATTTCCACAAGACTCGTAACTACACCCTGGTGTGCCTAGGTCATATAAGAACTAGGTCCAGCCAAGAAAACGGACAGTCAAGCGAGAAATATCGCACAGTGACAAGGCTGTAGGTAAATAAATTTGACTCTTCAAAACTGGTAAGCAAGCAAGCAAGCAAAAAAATTGATAAATAAATAAAAATACTACTACTACTGAATCGGTAGTAGTGGGGAAAATGAAAGTGCTACGAGAAAGTGTCCTTGCCAACTAAACTCGGAGAAATTCAAGATCCCTTCTGGATAACTACCGAAATGTCACAAATCTAGATAAATAAGACCTAAATTCAAAGACGTCCCAAATCACCAGTGGCTATTAAAAATAAAAATAAAATAAGCTGCAAATTTTGAAACTTCGCCTACATCTACAAACAGAGGAAAAATCACGTATGACGAACGAAGCAGAGTGACGACTTACCCCGACATTGTTCCTCTCCCAGACCTTGTTGATGCCATAGTCCACAACCTGTACCCATCGACTAGGTCAAAATTAAGCTTTTCTTCAGCAAAAGCTAACGATCAAGAGCGACGAGCTAGCATAACAAAGACGGAGCTCATAACGCCGAGCGAGAATAAAAAATTAAAAAAAAAAAAAATCATCAAAAAAATTGACAAATACACCCACAGTAAGCCATCACCAACCAAAATCCGACCACAGCAACGAGAACTACAGCTTACCCGTTCACCGACGATCGCTCCCGCGAAGATAAAAGCGATGTACACGGAATTCTTACGCATGAGCAAGCGCATTGCAGTGTCCAGCGTAGCTCCGGGAGCCCGCTCCATTGTGCTAGACCCCACTGGCTTCTTTGAAAACTCTACAACCCTAATCAGCAACGCGAACTGGAATACGCGAGCAAATGCAAACCCTAAAGTTCACCACGGAGAAGGGGGTCTAAAAACTTACGAAGGCCGTTTTGGTGGCCCTTCGCTGACGGGAAAGAGACACATCATCCTAATTTATCATTCGTCTAAATTCGTTCACATTACACATCATCCATTTGTGGTATATATGTACGTATTTGTATTATACGAGTGTATTATGACTGGTTCCTATTGTATAATACGCCTACCTCGTAGTTATCATTGTAATTTGTATTTTAGCATATATTTATGACATACGTTTGTGTCTACGTATAGATTTCTCTTCTGTTTTTTTTTTTTAGATGCTGATATGGTTGTGCTCAAACCTTCGTACAAGTTGAATGAAATTTGTATTGAGTTTACTTTTCTAGTACAATGTATAAAAAATTGTGTAATTGGAGGATGTTGATATGAGAGATACAGAAGGTTTATTTTCCATATTCAAACTGTTTTAACAAGATTGTTTAAAAAAAAATGTACAAGTTGTGTATTTCAAAATATTAACATTAGCACCAAAAAATAATAATATGAATGAAAAATATTCTGCTCGAGCTTTCTTCATTTCACTGTATTGGTTGCTCTTCTCATTAATTTCACACTAGGAATAATTTAATAGCCTTTTCGTACTTTTACTTTTACTTTAACTTTTGCTTTGTGGAGCCCACAGCTCAATCCACATCCATCCATCCATCCATGCCCATCGACCACCGTGTTGGATGGACGTCGTCATTCATCTATGACGGCCAGTTTCTGGCGGTTGGTTCTACGTTCATCCAACTCTTTTTCAGGGGGTGCGAGGATGGATAGATTAGTGTATGTATGGACGGATGGATGAATGAAAAGCTATGTGCAGCATCGAGAATAGAACAAAAGGCAAACAAAACTAGTATTCTGTTCAATAATAATAATAATAATAATAACAAGAAAGGGGGCCAATGACAACTCCAAGGTGCACAAGGGCCATGATGAGAAGGCAGGTATATATGGACACAATATTATATATGCTTTGAATAAAATAAAACACACAATATTATGCATGCTTTGAATACAATAAAACACACAATATTATGCATTATCATTACGAATAGACAATTTTGTCCTTTATTTTTTACTTGTTTTGTTTTGTTTTGTGTGGTACCCAAATGTAGCCAAGGAGGGTTCTCTCTCTTGTGTGAAGTAATAAATGACAATTGGGGTAGATGATTGAATGTATTGATGCAACTTATCTGTCCCATTTGTATGTCCCCTCTTTCAATCCTATACAAACAATATCTATCTATATATATATATATATATACAATCAAACTCAAATAATCTCAGAAAATGCATACACCAATTTAGTGAAATTCTTAATGAGCAGAATTAAAATTAAAGTGGAAAAGAAGAAGAAGCAGTAGAAGCAACAAAGAAAAAATAAAAAACAAAACAAAACAATTGCATGGGTTTTATCCAGCTAAAAATAATCTTTGCTTTTTACGATGCTTTTGCTTTAAATAACATTGTATCACAGGACATATATCATGTATCAATTAGTGTTTTCAACACAATTTTATGCTTCATGATTTAATCAGCTTAAACATTAGTATAAAAAACAATTGTACCATTACTATATATATATGGTCTAAAAATTGACAAGTTGTTTTCTTAAACTTTTACTGGATTTTTTAGAAGAAAGCCGATAAAACAATTGGTTACAGACACCTGATCTTCATTTTATTTTTTTATTTATTTATTTGTACTTTTGCCAAGTTTTTAACAACACGATTTAATGCTTGCTGCGCAATTTTATGGATAAAGAACTGAACACATTAACATGATTGGACTGCGACTCTATATTCTGAATATTTATGTATTTAGTTACGAAATTGATGAAAAATATGTGATTTTAAAATCAAGTAAGAGGAGAATTTTGAATATTGTATGTCCATAGAATAATTTGCTATTATAATGTAAACTTGAGTTAATAAAATAGAAACAACTACGTTTTTTTTGAAAACAAAAGATAATACCAATACTAATACTAATAGTTTGAGATAAAGGAGATTTACAAATCATCATCTATACACATGGCACACAGTCTGATGTATCCTAAAATGTATCTAATATTTATAAAAAATACATGGAATACTCTCGAATATCATCAAACATGTATGTTATATTTGATTCCATCTTATTTTTTTACCGCTGTTCTTGACAGTAACTTTCAAAAAGAATTAATAACATTCCTTTAATTCCCAAATCTTTAACAAAATAAAATTTTGATTATACATATTTATATATTTATTGCCTAAGTTGTATATTTGCAACAACTCCAATAAACATATGTACATGAGTGAGAGTGTGTGTGTGTGTGTGTTATTATGAAAGCAATGATATTTGTGTTGAATATTGATAACTGGGTGGCAAGTGTGGCAGTGGTCCATTAACTTGTAAATATTGGTGGTTAAATAAATGTTACATTTTTTTTTAAATTATTTTTGTCTATACTTATTAATGTGATATTGTACACCCTCCGTGTTTGGAAAGCACGTGCATTATGTGCAAAAGTGATATCATCAGACTTGTTTTGATGTTTTGATTTTTATTCTATTGAATTTACTTTTTGATTCAAATCTATTGTGGCTTTGTTGTAGTCTTGTAAAATTCATATGATCAAAAGAAACGTTACTCTTAAAAACATTTGTATAGTCATGTAGCATCTCCTTATATTAACCTTTCCTTCTTGCTCATTTGTGATATTGCCTCTTTGAAACTCTTTTATTATCATTTGTATCTGAATATTAGTTTTCCAAATATAAATATGGTTGAAAATTTCACAAATCACCTACAAAAAAACAAGAATAATCCTTAAAGAAAAAGGAAAAAAGACAATATTTTCAAGGCACAATTATTGTGTGAAATATTTGCATTTACATACACACATGTGAACATTTCTTCTTGTAACAAAACATTATCCACATGTTGCATAATGGTGCCAAACTATTTGTTGTTACAGCCAAAAGCAACTATTTTTGGCATAACATAACTCAAAATTTACTCATAGATTTTATGAACATTTGTTCAGTAATAGTATTACTGTTACTATCGTTGTGTGTTTTTTTTTTTTTTTTTTTTTTTTTTTTTCACGTGTTAGAACTATGAATTTACTCAACCTTCACACACTAGTGCAATCTGTGTTTCAAATCTATCCCAGTAATTCAACAATTGTTGAGGTTTCATACAACAATAAGTCATATTTCCAGAACTGAATATCAAAAGATTCAACACAACTCTTATTTTCCTAAACATGTACAATTGCAAGGGACACGTTACTTCAATTTACTGTTACACACTCACGCACACCATTCACAAACAATTCAAAAGCAATTTCATTTTATGGGTTTATCCTAATTTTATACAAAATATTACTTTAATATCACAACCAATTAAAAACACTCACAACTTCTCACTACACATGAATATTTAATGCACTCCAGCAATCAACTGGTATGTTATTGCAAAGAAGAAGAATAGATAGTACAGGAAGATAAGTTTCACTCTTTTGTCATCCCACAGATGTCAGCCAAAAGCATTCAAAAACACACACAAAACAAACACATGTAAGAAAATATAAATATTATCATATATACATACATATATATATATATATATATATATCTACACATGAATAAGAAAGCGTTTGGGGGAATTTCTGACAAGTGTACCAGGGATAGAAGAAGCCAAATTCAAGCTCTGCTCAAGGCCTTGACCATGGTTCAAATCTCTTGGCACAAGTCGTGGCTCCCCCTCTCACACTTCAAGTATCCAGTGGGAGCATGTGAACCATAATTAAGGAACCCCACATCTTTAATCTCACTCGCTCTACCACTAATTATCAACCTCAAAACCCAAAGATTCCTTCTGACCCTGTTGCAGTCCAGCAGCAAATCCCAGCTTCTCATGTACTACTTAGACAGCCTTATTACCCTAAACCCACTTTTAAAAACAATAAAAAAACAAAACAAAAGATCTTGTAAGTTGATTCACACACACTTTGGGTTAATTGATCAGCCTGACAAAGATGAAAGTCCACATACCCATCTTCCATATCCCCCTACCTCAAAAATCCCACTTTCTTAAAACCCTCAAAACTCTGCAATGCCATTTTTTTATGAATTAGCAGGTAACGCTAATTTCATGTGCTGACTAATTTGCTGATAGTTCATTCGTTACCCAATGATTATTGAAGATAGATGAGTTTTTATACGGGATGATGTTGACGTGGATGAGAAGTTTTGAGTTGGAGTTAGGTTTGGCGCCAAAAGCTAAGCCGGACTCGGAGGAGGGGCCGCATTTGCCAAGTTTGAACGCCACCCGCGCCCCAGGCCCCGCGTAAGCACATGACCGGGACGGGTCTCGGACTCTCCGCCCCCGCCACTCAGCGCCATTTTCGGCCTGGGGGGAGGGGGGAGGGGCTGTGTTCGGTTGAGGTCCCCGGCAAGCGTAGGGAGTGGAAGGACCCGGCCCGGCCCTCGGACGATGACTGCCACACTTGCCTGCACGCACACGCTCACCTGACACACTCTGAGCACTTAGACAGATTTTCGCAGGAGCTCTCTCATCTTCCGCTCTTTGTGGCTCGCCGTTCTCATCTTATTTTTTGTAGATCGTGTTTGCGTTCCTGCGGCGCTGCATTTCCTAGACCGTGGTTGTTCGTTCAATCTCCTTTTTGTTGTTTTTCTAAGCCATTTGAGTGGAGCTTTGCCGTTGAGTTTTGGCGGAGTTTTGGTGGAGTTTTGGTTGTCTGTGGACTCGTTGGAGGCGATGGTGGAAAGGAAGGAAGAGGAGGATGGAGAGGGATGAAGGGATGCGATTGCGGTTGCTGTTGACATTGTTGATGATGTTGCAGGCACAGCCGTGTCCTCCGAGGGTAGGCGTTGTTGTGAAGAGGGTTGAAGTTCAAGGAGGGTAGCGTTGTGTTTTTTTTTAGTGAAGTAATGCTTTTTGGGAAAAGCTGCTGCTGCAGCATTGATGAGTCGTGTATCGTGACAGAGCGACGGAGGATTAGTGGCGAGAACGAGAGAGTGGCAGGATTAGTGTAGGTGGGGGACACTATGGCGGATTCTTTGAACAGCAGCGTTTCGGAGGATAACGACTCGTTGGATGGATATTACGGGAATGGCAGACATGCACTAGACTATGGCAATGTTCCTCAATTTGCTGGCCTGACGAGGTCGGATTCCAACACCCGCCGCAAGAGTGTAGTGCGCGCTTGTCCTGATACAGAGGATCTTTTGAACCTGTTGCATGGGTCTGATCCAGTTAAGGTGGAGCTGAACCGCCTCGAGAACGAAGTCAGGGGTAAGAGTTGGTGTCGCGTCATCGCTTCTTGGTCCTTCTCTGTCCACGAGCTGCTCTGCTGGGAGTGAGACTAGCGATTTGTCCAAGATTCATTCGACCTCCTTGTATCTAAATAGCGTCTATCCTGGAGCTGTATGCAACGCAGGTCTGAAACCGAATGTTCCGTGGCTGTTAAAACAAGTGCAGTGTAGGTTGTTCCGAATGCTAATAGTTTCTTGAAGACCGTTTCGTTTTCTACACGGGTTTAGTAGTTTCGAATAACGGACTGAGTGCCGTTTTTCCGCGGGACTTGTTGTCTTTCAAAACTAGATCTGTCGGATGAAGTTGTCCTTAAGCTATGCACGGAAGTTGCTACTCATGCATGTAGTGGTTCCTTGGAGCTTCTGCATATTCTCTCGGCCGTTGACATTATTTTTTATAGCAGGGTTGGTTAGTAGTCAACTGCAGAGATGTTAATCAACTCTCTGATTTGCATCTTGGATATTTGCATTGGTTCCTCGTACCTAAAGACCGTTCCCGTTGTCTTTGGTGGGGCTCGGTTTGAGTCTCTTTTTGTAGAGAGCTATTTGGTGTCCTGGAGTCTGGATTTTTGCATGGGCAATTATCTTATCTAGTTCTGTGTCTTGATATAGATAAAGATCGGAAATTGGCAGAAGCTACTGCAGAATGCAAAGTGCTTAAGCAGCGTGAGCGATTACGCGAGAAAGCTGTCGAGGAGGTAAGTGACATATCATGTGGTATCTGCTTGTGAGCGTCATTTTGGCCACATGCAGAGGCTTTCATCTAGTGTTGTGGATTCCTAGTGTTACCCTACGGTTATGGCTGGGGAAAGCTACGAAATATTACGGAAGCTTGCAAAGTAACTTGTAGTGGCAACGAGCTTTAGCGAATGGGTGCTTCTTTCCTAGGGCTATTTTATTATATTAGTTGTGGGACCGGTAGCCTTCATGTCTGTATGCTTTAGTTCCTCAAGTCTTTTAGAATCTTGCAGCTCGCGGAGGAACTTGACAAAGTTGATGAAAAGCTCAAAGCCGCAGAAGATCTTTTGGAGAGCAAGGTCAGTACCATTTGTTTCCCTGGTACTTTTCTTCGGTGTGTTGCTTTGGCTTTAAAGATAATCTTAACGATATTTTGATCCGACGTCCGTGCGGGATGGTGAATGGTGAAAGACGGTGGCACAACAGTTAGAAGAATGACCAAGAAGAATATGTGACCCTATACGGCAGTGCCCTTTTGGTTTCTTTAGTTTTATCGAGGAATATTTAAGATAGCTTTTGATTCTCGCATTTTTTGTCTTATGTGGACGTCGTTTCTTTGTGCTAAAATTTTAAGTTGTTTCTTTGTTACTTATCAGTATTTGGGGGGTGTTTTTGCAGAACCTTGAATTGAAGAAGCTCAATGACGAGAAGAAAGCAGCTCTGGCCGCCCAGTTTGCAGCGGAGGCAACTCTGCGAAGGGTGCATGCAGCTCAGAAAGATGAGCAGTTACCGTCCATTGAAGAAATTTTATCCCCTCTTGAGGCTGAGTTGAAAATTGCGCGACAGGAAGTAAGCGTCAGTTTCAGTAGCTTGCTAGAATGACGCTAATAACGAGATTATTTTGAAATTAGTGCCCGCGATTATACTGAAGTTTACATATGGACCGTCCATGTTTTAAAAATCTGAATCACTCTTCTAAGAACCCTTCATTGTCTAATGACAGATTGCCAAACTTCAAGATACCAACAGGGCCCTTGATCGTTTAACTAAGTCCAAAGAGGCTGCCCTTCTGGAAATAGAGAGAGCTATAGATGCTGCCGAAGCTAAGGCATCTCAGGTGGATGATCTTCTTAATCGGAATCAGGAATTGATGAAACAAATCGAAATCTGCCAGGTTTACATTCTGATCAACCTCATACTTCAAATTTTAACGTAGAGAATCTCGTCTTTCCTTTCTTACTAAGGATGGTGGTCTACTGTCGCAAATTTAATGCTTTCACCATCTCATATTCTGTGAATTCAGATAGCAAGCTGTTAAGGAACTTATAAAAAATGGTGGCTCACTTTGTTGCATTCCACTCTGGGATTTGTTTGTCTGTGTTGACAGGAAGAGAACAAAATAATGGATAAGATGCATCGTCAGAAGACAGCTGAAATAGAGAAGCTGAGTTCCACCGTAGCCGAGTTGGAAGAAGCAGTGCTTGCTGGTGGAGCTGCTGTTAATGCAGCTCGGGACTACCAACGACAGGCACATGAGTTACTGGTATGACTAATGATACGCGTAGTTGAGTTCTTTTTCGTATGATTGCCATGAGGAGTCCCTATGCTGGATTTTACACCGAATACTATGCCTTTTTAATTTTCAACATCATTAACATATATTTGGATGATATGCATTTGAAATAGGAAGGGAAGAAGACGTTGGAGAGAGAGCTTGCACGAGCGAAAATCACAGCTAACAGGGTTGCAGTTGTGGTTGCTAACGAGTGGAAGGATGCAAATGACAAGGTTATGCCAGTCAAGCAGTGGCTCGATGAAAGGCGGTTTATGCAGGTTGGTTCGGTTTTTAAGTTTGCACCTCTAGATTTTCGTTCCATTGGTCCAGGTGGTGGAAGCAATGCACCTCATGAAGTCAACCTCGTCGATTTTGCGGCTGTTCTGACTATATCAGCGTTATGTCTGCAGGGTGAAATGCAGCAGCTGCGAGACAAACTAGCGTCAGCCGAGAGGACTGCAAAGAACGAATCGCAATTGAAGGTGTGTTTTGTCAGTTCATTTTCATGTACTGCAATTTATTTTACCTTTGTGGACTGTACATGAACATCTTGTTTGGTCTTATGCAGGATAAATTTCAAATGCGGTTGAAGGTTCTCGAGGAGAGCTTGAAGCCAGTTACAAATGGTGCTCCACGTCGGACGGAGGAAGTGAGAAGTTCAAGCACTACCAGACGTTCTACCTCTGGATCAGAGGAGGCATCTAAACTTCTCGCAAATGGCTCCAGACGTCAACGCTCTGCCGTCACCCAAGTACGAGCTTCGATGGCTAGCCAAACACTTATGAGAGCCACCAACGGTAGAATGACGTCCAAGTCTTTTGATGGAGGTAGATCGCTTGATGCGGGCACAACCCGACTGAGGGCATTTTCAAATGGATTTGAGGAGGTTCGTACTGGTAGGAGAATACCTGTTGCCGCGGAACCCGAGCCGGTTTCTACTACACAGAAGGCCGAGACAGGAGCAGTAAAGCCTGATTCTGTTGAAGCCAAGTCCGAGGTAGAAGCTGTCAAGTCCGAGAATGGAACAACAAACCAAGTGTCTGGATCATCCTCTTCGGTGGAGGATCCAGTATCAGGTGTGTTGTATGACCTTCTACAGAAAGAAGTTGTCAACCTGAGGAAGGCAAGCTATGAAAAAGATCAAAGTCTCAAGGATAAGGATGATGCTATTGAGGTGCGTATAGGGTAAACTACATCTTACTAGCATATGAATACTTCTCTGCTTAGTGAGTTTTGCATTGATTTTTGAACAACTTGATTATATTTATCGACTGCAGATATTGTTGTTACCTCGTACCTTCCCGGTTTGCTGTTTTTGACATGTATTCACGCTGGCTTCGTGGCTGCTTCTAATGTGTTCTGATATGTGCAGATGCTCTCAAAGAAAGTCGACACTTTATCTAAGGCTTTGGAAGTTGAGGGAAAGAAGATGAGAAGAGAAGTCCAAGCAATGGAGAAGGAAGTTGCCACCCTGCGAGCTGAAAAGGATCAAACACGGAATCCAAGGAGGCTTAGCTCAGGGACGGGAACTGTAAATAGTTCCTCTAAGTTGCTGTCGGGGAGGTGGGCTCAAACAATTACTGAACCTCTTGATTTTTCCTCTTCACTGCTGGCTGTATCACTCACTTGGTTTCTCTTCTCAAATAGCCCAACCTACTTGTTCAGTTAGAATTACCCAACCTTTTTTTTTTTTTTTTTTTTTTTTTTTTATTTTCTTCCGTGAACAAGTGGTTAAAAATGAATGAATCGTGGATGTAAGGCATGTATACCCGAATTAAACAATATGTATCAGTATTGCAGGTCCATTTTTTCTAATTCGTAAGAGAGCTTTGCTGGGGTATCCCATTGTTCCATAGCTATGCCTCGGCTCCCAGTTGTCTTATTATTATAGTTTCTCCGTTACTGTCTTGTGAAGTACTTCTCAACTAGTGAATGTTGTCAATTGAGACGTGAATAACCGTGCTACTTCTCTTGGCTTATCAGGAATGGGGAGAGGCCCATGGTCAGGAGTTGATGCCTGCAATTTGTGACCTTGTGCTCCTGATGGAGCGTAGTTCGCTGGAAAAAAAATCTCTGCACTCGGCATAGATAGTGAGATGGGGTCTCTTGCATGTGTAGCATTAATGTATCCTGATTTTACGAGATTGTATCTCTGTTCTGTGAACAAATTAGAGTGTGCCGTGCGTCATAGGAGATGATATTCTTGAGCAAGATACCCCAGATTATGTTTCAACATAAATTAGGCATTTTAGTAGTCTTCATGCATCTTCATTTCTGTCATTACATTTGCGTAAGACATTGTATGTTTATGGGTCCTTATGGATGACATGTTGACACAAGAATGTTATGTGTCCTTGGTAATCTAAGATGTGTGTTATCAAGATTGCTATAATGTGATGTATTTTCGAGGCGCCGTCAGATTGCATGTGTAATGAATCAAGGAAAATGCTGAGAGGTTTTGTTTGGATATTCAATAGCAGACTCCTCTTTGACAATGCCTTTTCAGAAACTCGTGTTAATAATACTATGGGTGGGCATGAGGGTAGTCTGCTGCATACTAGCGTCAATGTGGATTCCATGTGCTATTTACCTGATGGCCAGATTCGTGATTATTTCTTCCATCGCGCTGCGCTGTTGGGTTGTCACCGTCATCGTTGATAAATACGATTTCCGGAGAACACTTACCGCGACCTGAAAAGTGGTTGAATTCGCAAAATCTTTACGAGATTATTGAATTGGCGGTGCGCGTAAAGTTCACCCTGGATGAGCGTTGTTACAGTACGATCTGATATACGTCAAAGTGTCCCGTTGGCTACAAGCTAGGAACTGAACATAGAAGCTAGTGTCTATTTGGTTCCAACCAAAGTCGAGCGCAATAGAAATATCTGGAATATACAAGCTATTAAATTAGCAGTGGTAACCGATTCTAGTCAACATCCACAACCGAAGGCTTGGTCGCTGAAGATTCTCCGCAGTGAACTTTACGGAGGGGAGGGATGTGGTGGGTTCACTGTCAACGTCTAAAGAGAGCTGAAAAGCTTCTTCGCCTTCCTCAAGGCTCTCTTTCTCTCTCTTTCTTTCACGGCTTCTTGAGATCATGCTTGTGTTTGCAAGTTGGGTCCGGCGAGCAATGAGTGACTGATACCATGTCGAGCGTTTGAATTGCCAACCAATTGCAACCTTAGTGTTTGATTGTGGCTGTGCGTGCCCTCACCACCTTTGTGCTTTCGTCCTACAATTGCAGGTACCTTTGGCGTCTCTCTGATTACGTCATCGTCGGGGTTGCCCTCCTCTACTGTGGGCACTGCGAGATGGGGGGGTTCAAGACAGCGAACACGTTTGGTGCCACGGCGTTCTCCTCCTCCTACGACGCAGTCTGTCTGACTAGCGTACGCCATGATTCATTCAGATCCTTGGTTTCGAAGTGAAGGATGTGTACGTGAATAGCGGGTACGAGACGGATTTCATGGCTGCTACAACCATCTTTCTGCTGCCGTGGAGCATCTTCACGTTCATGACGTGGGGTTGGGGGCTGTAAAGCCAACATCGCGCCGCCCTCTCTGGTCGCGTTCTCGACGGTGACGTTCACTTTGCTGACCATCGCTGACGCCCAGCACTACCATCGTTAGAATCGGGTACGTGGGGGTATATCTGTAGCGAGATGGCGAACTTAGGGCTGCACTGAATTTTCTGTCGTTCTACTGAAATAGTATTTGGTGTGGAGATCTCTTCTTGCGTTCCTCGATTCTGTCGCTTCACATAGTTTGGCCAGGAAGTGGTATGTGACAAATGGAGCTGCGTACATGGCTGGTGCCTTATATGCAGTGATAGCGTCATTTCACTTCAGAAACATTTCTCCAAGGGACTTGTTCTGCAACCTGACTGGATCACGTAGGATTCAACTGACGTATTTATTAACCTCCACTGTTGGTTGTGAAGCAGAAGTTGCCAACAACGCTTTCCTCCAAGTAGCGTTGCAAGTCCTCAATGAGGCTCATTTTCAGTGTGCAGAAGGCACCCTGATAAAATCGGATCATGGGTACCTTAAAGTGCACTCTCAAGTAAAAGTCAGCCACACCTTTGCAATGCTCTCCATCAAAGCTGTCAACCTCAAGGCTTTCTGCCATATCAAGATGGCATATAGCAAATAAACATGACCAGAGGGACGTGATGTAAAGCAGAAGTGAAGCCTATTGCCAAAGAGTTATATTACAAAGACTTCGCCTTTATCTGAAAAATCTTTCAGAACTTTCAAGAGGTGAAGCGAGTGCCAATACACTTCAAGAGCATCATCATGAGTCTGGCTCTGACAATTTCGATTTGGCGGCTACTACCAACCTCTACTATGACGATTCCTTTTTGTGCCTTCTGTTTCTCAATTCTTGCAAGAGAGCGGACCTCGATGCGAGGTGGAATAAGGTCAACTGCTGCAGCACTGTAATTCCACAAAATGTGGTTCTCCTCCATGTTCCACTTTCCCTATTTAAAATGCAAAACTAAGTTTCGTGGCATAAAATCTTGCTCTACGAAAGACATATACGTGTTGGGAGGCTAGGTGGATGTGGAGATATGTTTTCTAACATGGCATTGATCTCCACCCGGAGAGCCAGTCAGATGTAGAATTTCATTCCTGAAGCATGCGTGCCTGATCCTAACAATGCCAGAAAGATGCTGGCTCTTAAAGTCCCTAGCAGCACACCAAGGTGGTCCCATAAATAGAAATTGGAGAAGGCATCAAGGGCAATCACCTTACAGCCATCTTCTTAAGTTAAATTTCACCAATTCCAGCCTGCTGACTTATGCTTGGAGCCCGACATCTTCCTTTTGGCGGATTCGTTCCGGTTATGCTGACGAAGTCCTTACTGTACGGTTCTCCCCACGAGTTTCAACTCTTCTTCATTTATATTCTTCACGTAAATTTTGACGGGACTATTTCTGGATAAAAACGATTCGAGGCAAGTTTCCATATTAGGTTATGAGATATCTAAGAAACAAAGATCATATAATTGCCGAGATATCATTTCATAGGAAAATTTTCGCCTTTAAATCAGGAACACCAACTTCAGGGTGATATGCAGGAATGCAGAAAAATTAAAATTGTGTTGAGAAATGATTGAAAAGTGCTTACGACTCTTCCCCTTCCTCGAAGCTGCAACTGGATCCAACAGCCAGAAGACGACCATCTCTGTTAAAAGCCAGCGAAGCAATGGGACTCGGGCACTTGGAATACTGTACATCAAAGGTACGAAGAAAAGCCCCGTATGTCACTGTTGGATGTGTCTTGTATAGATGACATTCAAACTTCTCCATCTCATCAACTTCAGGAAAATCAACACCTTGATTTTGAAATTTAGCATACATCCGTACATGCCATCACACCGTACTGTTGGACTAAGAGAATGTTTATGTACCTGGAATAAACGTTTCCTGATGTGAACGTCCCAAAAGTTGACGTGACGATCACCGCTACCTGTGGCAAGTGATCCATACCTGCGATAATTCTACTTTAGAATAGAATAGACAATACGCCAGCAGAGTCGAATATCTACGAAAAATAGATAGAAAGACTAGTATGATCAATATTGACTCATAATGAGGGTTCTTGAGTCAGAACACTCACTGCGGATGAAATGCGAGAGCATTAACAGGGTGAAAGATTTTTGGCCCCGCTGCTGGCTTAGGATGGCACTTGAAAACGTACCTGCATGAGGTAACGAGGATTTATACATAAAGTTGATCGACTGTCACACAGGTACATGCTTAGATGTGGTATGGTTAAGAATTCTAGTTTTATAAAGATTCCAAAAAGAGAAGGTCGATAAAATGACCCCAGGTAATTTGGTGTCAAGGCAGAACAATGAATCACATGATATATCCTGATTAAAGGATCTCGAGCTCACTTTTTTACTCGAGCCTCGGAAGGATCAAACCAATCTATAATCACACGTCCGTCTATGGATCCAATTGCAAAACCTGCAACATCAACTCCAGAGACAGAGGTCATTGAGGATACAAACATATAAAAACAATTTTGTGAATCAAAAATTCATATTTTCAGAAACCATGCCTCATACATAGAACATACGGCAGGAGACTCACGCAATGACATAGACAAGCACATACTGCTCGGGGAGAGCGCACCTCTGCCATCAGGATTGCAACAAACAGAACGCGTCTGGAATCTGAGGGGAGTTTCACTTGACTGTTGACCCTCTGACATTTTTCGAATATCATAAACCAATATGTGGCGACCTATAGTGGAAACAACCAAGTTGTGTCCAAGAAGAGACATGCTCGTTACTCGAGCAGGCTGCGCATATCTCGCAGCAAGTGAACAACTCCTTGCATCCCAGCATCGTAATGTTTTATCCCAGCTCCCACTTATGACCTGGCCTGCAACAAACACACACACACACACACACACACAGATTCTATTTGTCAGATCTCTATTATCAAACAAACACGAGAAGCTAGAAGCTTTAAACGGCTTCCAAACGGTCAGACAGAGGCAAGCTGCCAGGTATCGCAAAATACGAATACACCATTCAGATGTAAGAGGCGATGTGCAGATCGAGTTTTTAGTTCGTTTCTTTCGAGTCAAAATATTCAGCTGAATCAGTAAAGTACACCTCCAGCCCTATGGACATGGTGGGAAGCACACATGCAACAAACAGTAGAAAAATCCTCATTGAAATTCGTCATCAGTGTAATTGAAGGACTGGGTGAGAGTGGCATGGTGTGATGACTCACCAGTTGCATGTGAGTACTCGAGAGAGGTTATGGCACCGTCATGCAAACCCAGAGTAGTTTCAGCACCAGTGTTGAAATCGTACCTGCTCGTTCATTTCATATCCGTAACCAATTATTTACAGCCGAAACACATCGTGAACAAACAGGCGCAAGTTAGTGAGGATTATACAATTAACTTGCAGGTTTCCGATCACAACTATCCACCATCACCATCGTGTGCGCTCAGATCTATTTCAATACCATCTATTGCAGAAGTTCCCAAAAGAATGTTCTTAGGAAGAGATGAAAAGAGTAACCTGAACACTAAAAAATTTGTTGACAAAGTGTGTCAAGTAAAGATCTAAGATGATGTGGCTATCAACAACTTGATAAGCTCTGATGAAGCCTCGAGCATTGTTTGGATGTGGGAGTGGTTTTGTTCAGTACCTGTAAAGAGTTTGGTCTGCACCGGCACTGTAACCAGAAGAGTCATCGCAGAAGCAACAATCGAGGACAGGTCCTTGGCTTCCGAATTCAGCCTTGAGCACATTAGCAGCTACATCGTACAGCCTAAGCTTCTGCATTCAAACATCTCCAATTTCCCCATCAACCATTTTCGTGACATCTCTCTAACCAAAGCATTCAATACCCAGAACACCTGCGGTCAACATCAAGTCATACCGCTACGTTGGCAGTGCAGATTGACAAAACCCAGCAATCGAATCGCATCATAACAAGCGCTGCGTATGCTTGCACTCACGGTTCTCCATCTACAATTGTTCCCTCACTCCTCTTCACGAAAAATGCAGAGACTAGATACTTAGATATACATGATACCAGTGAAAGGGTACAAAGAAGCAATCTAGCGCAGTAAACCAGTTCAACGCGTTCAGCCAACAACGTCGAATTAGCTGAAGTTGCATTGTGGACATCGAAGTTATGAGAAAATCCACAAAGGACGGGAAGAATCACTTACAGCGTCCCACGAAGAAACAAGCAAATGGTCGATTTGATTGGAAAATCGAAGATTGGTTATTGCATCCGATGGGGGCGGCCAAAGCTCCCGCCCAAGAAGGCACCCGTTCCCCCTCGACCCCATTGTTTTGAATTTCTATCTCCAAAACCAATAATGTCGAAAGAAATAAGAGCTTCTACCCGTATATTTTCAGCCGCTAATATTTTCCTTTCCCCACTCCGAACTCCAGCAGTTGAGAATTTCCGTTCAAATCGAAACCTTACACTCCATCGTCTGAAGCGTGCAATTCGCACATGCGGCAGCGAGGCAACGCATCGATGCGTTCACTCTTCATCTTTCTACTCAACGCTCAAACCTGTTTCTGTAATCAATTCTGGCGACGCATCGCAACTGGCAAAACCGGGAGTGTGGGAATTTTCAAAATTTACGAGTAACGGGTCCCGCGGCGACGTTTACGAGGTGGATTCGTGAACCTCGGGATTCGGCGGGAAACGTTTCCCGGAGGTCCCTGTCACGGAGTCGGTTTGAAAATTTAAAAAATTGTTCTGCGTCGAAAACGACGAAGTCAAGTGCACAAAACTTCGTCGGTAGCACACTTTCGACACTTGCGGTATTGGTCGGAGCAATCGACGGTTGGTGAATTGCCGTGCAAGTTCTATTAGACGCTTCGTTTGTGTTTCGGCGAAGATTAGTGAACGAACAAGTGCTTAATATGTTGATAAGATGTTTTAATTTTTTAATTTTTTAAAAAACTAACAAATATATTTTTAAAAATTATACAAAAATTATATAGAATAATTCTTTCTGATTTCATTAAAATCTTATTTAAAATGAACATGTTTTTATAACAAATGCTTGTATTACTAAGTGTAGAAATTGTCAAAGATTATATATTACACACTATTACAACATTTTGACAAAAATAACTTTAGTATTTTGGCAACATAGATAATTTTTTGGATATTTAGAATTGTTGTTGTTTATTATACTTCATAATAAAATATTAATCTTGGAAAATATACATTTTATAATTATGTACTATTAAAACATTACAAATTATGATATTTAAATATAGATAAAGATTTTAAAAAATTAATTAATAATATTACAACATTGCAAGGATTAATTATTTTTAAATTTTATACTACATTTTGTAAATATATTTTCTCTAATATTTAAAATTAAAATCAATTAAAATATGTATTATTTTCAAAATAAATAATAAATCTTATCAAAGTCATTATTTGTAACATTTAAATTTTGACAAAATTTAACTAGACATCTCAATTTTTTATATCATTTAAAATAATTAAAAAAATAAAACTAGAATACTTTTAATTTAACAAGAATATAAACATAGTTAATTTAATCAAATTTAGATTATAATTTGGATTATAATGAACTCATTTTGCCAATCCCTATCTTCATTACCTATATTAACTATATTGTTTAGTCAACTAAACTATATAGTCAATAGTTTCTTTGGTCCTAAGTGGTTGACTACAACAAGATTTAAATGTGTATTGATAAAACATCAATAATCACAAAAGTCTATAAATTAATTTTAAAAAAAGAATGACACAACATTAGAATTTAAGACATGAATTTCAAACAATAAAAGCCTCAATACACTCTTGTGTCACTTATAAAAAAGTAGTTATTCATTCAAAGATAATAATATATTAGAATTAGAATGGCTATTGCTAAAAACAAGAAGACTAGAGATTCTTGTTTCAATAACAAGACTAGGGACAAGAAAAACATTAACAAGAGTGAAGAAGACTTCACTCTTGACTTTATATATACTATTTACAAGACAAGTTTCTTATATGTGTGCCACATAGCTTATACCACATGCTATAAATATGTACAACATATGGCTAACTTGTTGGCCAAGTTTCTAACATACTAATCAATTACAAACACATCTAAAGTCAAATCAACATTTATGAAACTTCTAAGAAGCTTTATCACAAGATATTTTCAATTTTACCTACATTTATCTTCTATCTAACACTTCTTATCTTAGTAATTATGTATGTCCATGATACATTGATAACCTTGGATACTAAATATTTTTTTGTTAAAATAATGAGGTAATAACTTATCTAATATGTGACATTATTAGCAAGATGTTGCCTTTTGTATTACAACACTAAGTGACATAAGAGACTACTTTGGCAAAAGTAGATTCTTTTTCAAATGTTGTTTTCTAAAACTTATTTTAAGGTTGTACTAATTTATATGATGTTCTATGTAGATAGATTTATAAAGTACTTAAAAGAACCAAAAATGTGTAATTTAAAATTTCTAAAATATAAAAAATAACTTGAATATGATTTGATCTTAGATTTTGTAATCCTTCTCTTTTTTTCTTTTATTGTATTACAATTGGTGTGAATAGAACCTCTCAAAATACCTCTAAATATAACATACCACATGCTTTTGAGTTGATTAGATGGTTTTATTAATTATTAGTATAAATAGACATAAATAAGTTAGATCTTAAAACATTCATTTAAATAACAATTAAATGGTTTGAAATGATGAAAATACATAAGAACATTGAATGACATTGTATTATTAAAAATTACAAATAATATGACTGTCACATCGTCAAAAAAAGTTGGGTCGAATAAAATAATAATCTTACAAATATGAAATGACTAAAATTTACCACTAGGCTGAAACCACACACTTGATGAAACAAAACCATTTCAATTTTAGGATACAATGTTATGTAAACAAGCTAATTTAGTTCTATCTTCACAGCTACCAGGATTCTGAAGTGCTGACATGTACACTGATAAGTTCGCCCTCGACAGAACCCTCACAAAAACGGGCTTAAAACGAGGGCCCTCATCTTCCCTGGTTGTCAATTTGAAGAATTGCTATGTAATATTTACAAGCTACAATGAATGTTGACTACTGGAATGTGAGCATGTAAAGCTGAACTGAAATTGGCTAAAGTGGGAAAAAGCTCAAAAATCCCAGGTTTCATTAAAACACATGAATCTACTCTTCGCACTTGGAGTGCTCCGAATACTCACGAATCACAGCTGCAAAAAGAGAGTCTGGCTGCTCCAAGAGCCGCGAGGGTGCATCAAACTCCTTCAAAACTCCTGCACAAAATAAAATAATGCATTGACAATCTGAAACATGCATTTAGCACTATGACATAGAAAAAACTTGTTTCATGAAGTTGTAGTGCACTGATCTGGCCAAGGCATTCAGCGAAGGCAAGGCCGGAAGAAACTCACCAGAGTCGAAAACCAAGACTTTGTCGGCGTCCATGACTCTCGGGATGCGGCGGGCAATGGTGATTACGGTCGACTTTGCAAACTCCGCCCGGATGATATCTTGCATGATAGAATCTGTTAGTGTGTCCAAAACTGTAGTCGGTTCATCGAGAACCAAGATCTTGGCCTTCTTCAGCAAGGCGCGTCCCAGCCACAAGAGCTGTCTTTGACCCACACTCCAATTGTCACCATTCTCAACCACTGTCACAATGAAACTGGAAAACTCAGTAAGCAGGTCGACAAAACGTAAATTTATGCTGATAAGGTTACGTATCATCTCACATCCAAAACAGTTCAACAAGACAAGAATGGCCATCACATACTAGACCTTACCTACGGAGTCGAGCTTGTCATTCTTCACTTTGATTGTTTCAGCCAACTGACACTTCTCAAGTACCTCCCAAATTTCAGGGTCTGTGTGCTCGTGCATGGGGTCTATATTGCTGCGAACAGTGCCCTCAAACAAAGTGGGATCCTGGGGGATGATTCCAAACTTAGTGCGCAGGTCTTTCAAGCCAATCTGACGCGTGTCTAGTTTATCAATCATAATGCAACCATTTGAAGGCTCAACAAGCCTGAACAAGGCCTGGATCAGGCTACTCTTTCCGCTACCAACAACTCCCACTTTTTCCCCTCCCTTGATATTGAAAGAGACGTCCTTGAGCACCAGAGGGGTGTCGACATCGTACCGAAGCTGCACCCGTGAAAATATTACAAGGTCAGTCACACTCAACAAATTTTCAGAACCTTCCAAAATATCTCAATCAATAATTTCAAAATTGAAAGGTAACAACTAGTTCTCCAAGTGAAGCCACAATTGATGATATGCGATAGTTAATGAAAACAACATTCATAGAAATGGTTTCAATAGTTTCATCTGTCAAAAAGGTCTTCAGAGCCAGTAAGGCTGCGAGGACGGTTGAAAGGGGGCTATTCTTCCAAAAAAAACGGAACTCTATGAGGATTGCAGACCTGGAGGCGGTGGAATTGAATGCTGCCTTGGGTAGGCCAATTCTCAGCTGGCCTGCTATCCTCTATAACTGGAGGTGCCTCGCTCGTGATTCCACAGTACTTGTTGATACGTTCCACAGACACCATGTTGTTCTCCAGTTGAAAAGCCAAGTAGGCTATCCCGTACAGATATCCGTTGAGTGCTAGTCCATACGAGAGGGATAAGCCAACAAGCTCTGAAACCACAACGAGACGAGTGTTAGAGTCATAGATAACTAAATCATCCAAAATCAGCACAGAAAAGAAAAGAAAAGAAAAGAAAAGAGATTCTCACCTGGGTCAATGAAATTTCGTCCTACGGTAACCATGAACAGAGCTGAAGTCGCTAACACAACCGTCCCAATCATTTCAAGATGGAATCCGAGCCATTCATTTGCTGCATTATTGTGGAAAGCCGTCCTGAGACTGGCATCCACCCTCTCCATATTCACTGTAGCAAACCTTGGTTGCTGACAAAAGGCTCGAATCGTCGCAAGTCCGGAGATAGTGTCAGAAAAGTGTACAATTATTGATGCTTTCGTAGTCCCATCTATGCGTGTCAGCTCCCGAGAAGTGGCAACGTAATATCGCTGCACACAATGCAGCATCGTCTTATTCAGAATATTAGATCTAAGAAGATTATTAATGACCATATACCACTTTCAGCTTCCAAATGATTTAATCCAAAGTGAGACATACCTGGAGCAAGACGTACACATACGCAAGTGGCACGATAACGAATATCATTTGCCACGTCACCTGAACAACAACAACGAGAATACCGAAGGCTTGAAAGCCCTGACATAGGACGGTGCCCGCTAAGATGGGCACCAAGAAGTCCACGTTCGATTGATCGGTTGCAAACTGTCATCACAATAGGGTCAAAATCATCAATGAAAAGCGAAAAATTAGCATTTAACGTTTATCATTTTAATGCACAACTCAGAGGATAGTTTCAGTTTATGAGGTATTGGATTATTTATCGCATAGCAGATAACACATTTTCTTTTTGATTCTACTCTAGTACACATGAAATAATTATGGTGAGGATAACAGTACCCGAGAAAGAATTCTTCCAGAAGGTGTTCTGTCAAAGAAGGCCATGGGAGCACGCATGATGCAATTGAGGAGAGAATCGAAGAATGATTGAGCAGTCATGAGACCTGCAAAAGCTGTGAAGAGGGACATCAGGAGGATGAAGAATCCACTCCCAAAGACGAGCTCAAAGTACATTGTAATGAACTGAGCAGGCTGGAAGTTGGTTGGATATGCGGTAGAATGCGCCAGCCAGTAGTCACTTGCAATCTGCAGTCCTTGCCAGCACGTCTGAAGAACAAGGAGCACGAAGACATGGAACCCTTTGAACGCTTTCATGGCGTGCAGCAAGTCCACACCGAGACTGACTTGGCCAGTTGCACGCTGCTCATCGTCGATAAAGGAAGCTTTAGCTTTCCTGAATACTGTCTTGGAGTCATGCTTTAAATGAAGCGTCTTGATAATCATCCTGCCACTGCCCCCCAATGCTTTCTTGTCCAAATTCTTCTCTGTAGAAGGTGATTTTGTCAACTCTGCATTGTGGGACGTTTGTTTTGAAAGAGTCGTACAGTCCACCACAACTAAAGCTTCTTCTCTTTCTTTCATTTCGAAGACCACTTTAACTTCTTTTTGAGCAGCCAGTAAAGTTTGGAAGTCGGTCCCTGCCTCTGAAAGCTCATTATACTTTCCAGATTGCACTATCTCGCCGTTTCGAAGTACCTGACAAAATTGAATAAAGGCTTTGTTTAGTTCTCCAGGAACTTAAATTCCTTTCATTGTAAGAAAGAGTAGTGAAGTGGAGCAAAGATATTAAGTGCAAGTCTTTCCGCACCAAGATAAGGTCAGCTCCACGCAGAAATTCCATTTGGTGAGTGACTAACAACACCGTCTTCTTCCCCAAGGCACCCATAATACATTCCTGCAGTTGAAACGACACAATACTCAATGACTTAATGATAACTGAAAAACCTTCAAAAGGGTATGCACTACCTACCTTTCATGGGTAGTCCGGCACCTCTAACACCAAGACGTGGTCTTTCATAAGAGCCTATAATTCAAATTAAGCTTAGTGTCCTGAGTTTCTTGTGCATTTGTTGTCAGAGGCCTTCAGCCATTCATTTGAAAAATGTGTGCATCACATTTTGCAGTGAAACAGAAAAACAGTACCTTGAAGAGAACGCTGCTATTGTGGGCATCAATGGAACTAAAGACATCATCTAGAACGTAAACGTCCGCATCTTGGTACACAGCCCTGGCCAACTGAATTCTTTGCTTCAGATCTATGGGAAGATGAATTCCACGATCAACGACCTCCGTTTCGTCACCAAGGTTCATTCGTGCCAGATCCTGAGTAAGCGAGCACGTGCGAATCGTTTCCTCATACCTCGCTTTATCAAGTTCTCTTCCAAACAAAATATTGTCTTTGATAGTTGCATTCTCGATCCAAGCCGATTGCCCTACGTAGGCTGTGCGTCCTCTGACTTTAACCTGTTGATCATCACATGAGGCGATAAGAGTGAAGCTTTTACCCATCAAACTTGTGCTGGAAAAACGGTTTTCAATCTGACTAAAAGATTATATCTAATCAATGACTCACCGAACCAGAGAGTTTTGTCATCTCGCCCAAAACAGCTGAAAGCACAGCAGATTTGCCTGATCCCACCATCCCAACGATGGCAACAAACGTTCCATGCTTGACCTTCACATTAACATCCTTCAGAGTGGGTCGATCGCTTGCTGGATCCCATTTGAAGTTTCCATTTTCAATTTCGACGTCAAATTTACCGCCAAGAGGGAGTTCCTCAACAGCACTGGGATCAACCTCTCCGCTGCACATGTAATTATCGAGTCGGTCGAACGAATCGATGGCTTGCGAAATGGTCACCAGCGCCTGAGGAAACAGACGAAGTGGCTCTTGCATAATTCGGAAGGTAGAAATGGCGGTGAAGACTTTAGCTGAGGTAAGTGGCACTTTGAGCAGCACACAGAGGGCGAATGTGGCAGTCGAGAAAGCGATCGGTGAGAGCCATAGCAAGAAGACGTTAATGGCTAAGACATACATGAATTTCGCCAACCACTTCCGCTCCGAGTTTCGTATTTCTTCAATCTTCCTTTTGAAAATATCTTCCCAAGCCTATCAATCGGACAGGAGATAACTTGTCAGCCGAGTTCTCATTCTATAATTCTCCACAAATTTGAGGAAGGCGTCTGGATTTTGCAACAAGTTCAAAATACTCAAGTTTGCATACCTGCAGTTTAAGGATTTTCATGTTGTTGAGTACTTCAGTGGTGATCGTCATGCGGATGTTCTTCAATCTCATGATATTGCCCTGGTAACCCCGGTGAAACTTGGCTAGATTGAAGCTCAGGAACAGAATGAAAAATATCATTAGTATACCTCCTAAGCACGAAATTCCAATAACGGCGTGCAATATGATCAGACCCACTGCAACTTGGAGTGGCAGCGCCCACAAATGATGGATTTGCAACATCAAGTCAGAGATTCGCTGCGCATCCACTGACATGTATCTCGCAATTTGAACAGCGCTGTGAGTTTGCCGGGAAAAGCTCGAAAGGCGAAGTCCTTTTCTGTACATGGCTGTGATCAGAGACGACCGCACCACCATGCCCAGTTTCTGGGTGTAAAAATTGAAATGATGCGCAGAGAGGACCTCCACCAACTTCGCAGCAAATAGAATGACAACGAGAACGAGACCTTCGCAGGAGAAGAGTTCGTTTCCAGCCACGTTACTTACAAACTGAGTGATGAGGATTGGCCCCACATACATGACAGACAGTTTCGACACTGACAAGAAAGCTGTGAACAGGATCTGAGGCCAGAAGGTTTGCAACAGAGCGGTCCTTACGGATGCTGGCGCGGGTTGAGACTCAAAATTGACAATAAACTTGGAGTAGAGTAATTCAGCACGATCTTCGGGTGCAAGAAGAGGTATGTCTTTGAGCTCAAGAACCTTGGAATTCCCTCGCTTCAGTAGTGGATTCAACCACAACCACATAGCTTTCGAGATGAAGGAGGCCGAAGCGAATTCAGTAACCCCTGCGACGGCACCGTCTTCAGGTATAGAAGCATCAAAACCTACAAGGCTCTCAAAGAGGTCGCTGTCCTCGACTGAAATGCCAGTCCGTCCCACCATAGCCACCAACACAAGCAAAACAACGACGGGAAACATCCCGATGCTGACAATGTCATCGATCCAAAGATGGACGTCACGCGGATCATGGTTTAAATACCGAACAATGCTGGTATAGAGTGCCAACAGTGACAATAAGAATGTCATGATCCACCATGCTCGCAGTAGCTTCGAATGCAGTGTGGCACAAAACCTCTTCTGGCGACACACAATAGCAGCGAACACTGACCATGCAAGGGCTTGACTAAGGGAGAAGACAAGCTCGTGGGCAGGGACATGGAACCAGCCATAGCGCGCAGCATGGATGACTCGCCAGATAGCTACAAACCACTGGAAGAGCATCACGAGTGCGATGCATGCGACCTGAATTCTGTATATTGAGCTGATGTGGATTTCGCTCGGTGAAGTTTTTCCTACTCCATTCTGCTGTACAGATGAGGATCTTGTTTGTCGGACTGCGACAAGGCGAGTGATAGAGTAGAGGGCGAGCAGGGCCACGAAGACGAGGTGGAGCGATGAGATAAGGACGTGCTGACAGCATGGGGAGAAAAGAATAACTTTGATCCAATCCCATGTGCTGTTCGCCTCCGGCGAATTGCAGGTCGCTGTCCAAGCTGTGAGAAGGTATGTGCCCATCTCCAGCGCCGGAGAGCGCACCATCTCTGTGCAAAGCAACAACCAAAGGATAAGTAAGCAAGAACTCCGCATCCAGAGGCTCTGCCAATAAGCAACAGTACCGTGCTTACAAACTCGATCCAAAGACATTGAAGAGTAGATGAGAAAATGGGAATTGTGGTGGGGAAGCAACAATTACCTATGTAGGCCATAGCTGGAGTAGATGTCATTTTGATGCCTCACTGAACCATCTGCAAAGAGGTTTCATTTTTCAACAAACCAGTGTAACATTCGACAACCATTATGCTTATTGAATCACTAGTGAAGCACAAGTCTATCATCCAAGAAGAAGCAAGGGTGATTTCCTGCTTTGAAAGCCTAACTCAAAGACTCCCTAAGAGCCTCAAAAAACTAAACCGCTAGCAAGAGTAGGTTGCGATCCAAATAGCTAAGATTCGGACCGTTCAAAACTTGCAAATGGACTTCGCTACTATTACAGGAAAGTGGTTCTGTGCTCTCGACATTACACTACTGTCGTGCAAAAAACTTCCGATTGTTGTGACATTGAATTGCGGGACAATATCAAATGCAAAGGAACCTGAAGTCACAAAACTCCCTCTCTTAACGCATCTGAACCTGTCCAGAGAAAGACCAAGTCGTACTTAAGCCTCGACACTTGCTATACGCTGGTGGCTTCGAACCCCAGAATTGTCTGCTGACTATTTCAAAGTGTAGGGTTAGACAGTGATCTCAAAGGCACCGAACCAAAAACTCGTTTTCAAAATCCGAAATAAACGCTAGTCATGAGCACAATATAACACTACCACTCGATAGTCACTCTAATAGTTCCCGATTGCAACCAAATTGCGAATTCCTAAGTAAAACACGTCGCACACACCCCTAACCACACCATCACCGCTCACACACGTAAAACCTCAAAAGATGCAACTATATTCAGTGCAGGTGGTCAATCACCTCCTCAGTGCAGCTCCCGAAAATTTACGTGCTACTCGAAAGAATCATCTTTAGAGCTTCTCCTTTGCGTGAGATCCAGTGACCCAAGATGACTGAGGCCGCTTCGGAAGCAGTCAGTGGGATAGTACAGATTAACCACCATGGCTGTTTGAAAACTTAACAGAAGTGGCGATGCGCTCCCAAGCACCAAGAAGCTGCAACAACATCCCAACATCCTCATAATCATGAAGAGGAAGGTGGAAGAGGCTGAATTTGTGACAAGTCCTCTCTTTCTCTCAGGGGGGTGTTGTTCATCTGTCTTCTTCTCCCATTCTTGTTTCCTCGGTTTTTTGGTACTATATTGGGTACTATTCCTGTGGAGTCAGCAATCAACTAGAGCCCACACAGTTGCATGCCATTTGGACCTAGGAAGTTGACCAGCAGCGAATATCGTGCCTCAACTTTCGCATCGACCCTGCATATTCTCCGAAAAGAGAAAAATCGCGAAGATTCCCATTGAAGAACCCAAAAATAATTTAAGAAAACCTCATTCACAGAATTTTACAATTTTGTGTTCCTGGACGTGGCGCAAGGGGACAGGCGACTCAAAGGATTGTCAGGGGTTCGTTCTTTCTGTGTAACGCCAGGGCCACTGCATCCTTTATCTGTCGGCGTTGCTTGCTGTTTCCCACCCTTACTCTGAAGATCAAAGTGAGGGCTTTGAACGACGATAAATGCACATTCACGCTGACCCACGTCTGCAAAAGCTGACACCCTCGATTCCGAAGAGTGAACAAGTCCACAAGAGCATGTCAGGTGCTCGCTTAGCCCCCATATAAAGATCGATCCAAGCAAGCTAAATGAAAGGTCGGATCATGAGCGTGTAGATTGTAATCTGAATCTGTGCTCAGACCCTTCGCCGTTGCAACGACGAATGGCATCACGCAACAAAGTTCCGTGTGCCAGCGAACTTCAAGCATTGAAATTTTCCGAGAGGAATTCAGCGTCCTCGGGATATCCGTCAATACAGACGTTATATGATGTGTTCCATGTCTGGAGTTCATGGGTGCACAACTCTCCTTCGCCCAAAATGGAAAACCTTGTTGCAGACTAGTTGTAGTAAAAGCTTGTTTCTTATTAAAGGAGACAAACACTAGAGTATAAAGTTCTGAGTTTAAAATATGGGGCGGATTATGCACACCCCCCTTCTTCTGGGTGCACACCTCCTTTAAAACAGATCAGAGGGCATTTTTCAACCGTCATTGAATGCAAGTTTGACTTAATAATGGGCCTATGGCTCAAGTTCAAAAACTGATTGCTCGTTCGGTGTGCTATTCTCGAGACGGCATCCACATGCTCCTCTGGGCCATCCTAGTGATTTTCATTGCCTTGTGCATATGATTTGTGATATTCTTGCAATGAAAAACACCAATACATGGGGTTGTGGTGTGTAAGAGGTGACAAGCCTTCTCAACCTCCATCTCTACCTTCTTGAGAATATAGTGCAAAATTTTGTATCAAACCATTGCCTAGATTGCATTATACTTGATAGATCATTGTGTTTGCTTAATCATATGCAATCTGATGGCGGATGATGTCTTCTTGTTGTTGAATTGTAAGCATCAACTTCTTTTGAATGTCTCTTAGGTCATCAGATAATATGCCAATCCATAATTTTACAATTGTGTGCTTTTCCTCCCCTCAAGATGTCACCAGATTACTTAGGTAGTGGATATGTTTTGTTCACACTAGGACAAAGTGCTATTTATGGAAATCCATGTTTAGTCAAGGTATTCATGAATGTCTACAAGATACTTGATTAGCAGCTCATTTTATGACATATTGAATGTTGCTTCATTAGTAACAACAATTGTCTTCTTCTAGTTATACATGAATTCCTCCCAATCTATTATTGAGCAGTTTTTTTTTGTAGATTTGCTAGCATGTTTTTGTTGATGTACCAAGCAAAGAGAAGACTTGATGCATCCTCCAACCGAGTACAAATGGCCAACATTAGTGCAAATTTCTTCTTTATCACCATTATTTGTGACTAACATTCCATAATGAACATCTCTATGATCTTGATTAAAGTCCAAATATAATCACTCTCTATTTTAGCTGTCATAATATAAAAACAAGTAAAAAAATGTCTAACTTGTTGAAGTCATGTCAACGACGTGCAATATTTACATTTTGAATTGATTTGTTTTGTCAGTTGAGTCCATGAAGATTAAATGTAGAAATTCTCATGCTAATGCTATTGCTATGGACAACACAAAAAAGAAGATGCTTGAATTGTCTTTTGGCATTACAGTGTTGTAATATGTGGTGTTTGGTTTGAGAATCCATCAAGCACCTGGTTGTGGAAGATAAAAGGAAAATTGCAACAAGTCCGAACAATTCTAATAGATTCTTAAACAATTTACAATTAAAGATTAGCAAGTATAATCAAACATCAATCAAATTCAATCAAAATTACAAAAGAATTATGTAAGAAATATAAAATATTCCTAAAGATCCTTTAAAGACATAATAAAGAAATAATATAGGAATTCAAAAATATACTAAAATAAAAATCTTAATAAAATCTTAAAATAAAAATCTTAATTAAATCCTAGTCAAATCCTAATCAAATTCTAATAAAATCTTAGTCAAATCTTAACCAAATCTTAACCAAATCCTAGTCAAACCCTAACTAAATACTAATCAAATCCTAACCAAATCCTAACTAAACTTTAGTCAAATCCTAACAAAATCCTAATCAATCCTAAATAAATCCCAATCAAATCCTAACCAAATTCTAATCAAACTCTAATAAAATCCTAATCAAATCCTAGTCAAATCTTAATCAAACCTTGATCAACTCTAACTAAATCCTAATCAAATCTTAACAAATCCTAACCAAATCCTAATCAAACCTTAAACAAATCTTAACCAAATCCTAGTCAAATCTTAATCAAACCCTAATCAAACCTTAAACAAACCTTAACCAAATCCTAGTCAAATCTTAATCAAATCCTAATCAATTCTAACTAAATCCTAATAAAATCCTAACAAATCATAATCAAACCCTAATCAAATCTTAAACAAACCTTAATTAAATCCTAACCAATTCTTAGTCAATCCTAAATAAATCTTAATCATTTTCAAATCCTAACCAAAATCTAATCAAATCCTAGTCGAATCCTAATCAAATCCTAATCAAATCCTATTGAAGTCCTAACCAAACCCTAATCAAATCCTAACCAAATCCTAGTCAAATCCTAACCAAACCCAAATCAACTCTAAATAAATTCTAGTCAAACACTAAACAAACCTTAACCAAATACTAAACAAACCCAAATAAACTTTAACTGAACCCTAATCAAATCCTAAACATATCCTATCCAAGTCCTAAATAATCCAAGTAATTCTTACAATAGATTTAAGCCTCAATAACTAATGAATGAACAATTGATTTAAACTCAAATTTTGCATATCTCTTCAACATTGAATTGACTACAAGCACAAATTTTTTGAAGAAGATGAAACTCACCAAAAAGAAGATCAATCCTAATATTTGATTAGTTATTAGCCAACCTCCTTCTTCAATCTAAATGTTGAATTTCTTGCATCATTATCTCCTTATTGAATTGTTCAATTGATCTCAAATATCTCATATACATAGAAAGATAAGTCTACTACCTATTGTCATGGACATACTCATGTAAGCCAGTAATTACATATATAAATAGGTAGAAATAAGTAAAAGTAGATAAAAATAAGTTAATTCTATAGTATTTGATATGGAAGCTTCCTAGAAGCTTGATAGACACTGCTTTGACTTTATAGGTGTCTATAATTGACTTTTTGGATTAAAAACGTGATCAACAAGTTGGCCATGTGCCACACATGTTATTAGCTTGAAGACCAAGCTAACAATATGGCCCACATATAGAAAAACTTGCCTTGTAAGTCAAGGTATGTGTCCTACAAAATCAACACTTATTGAAGGTCCTATAGAACGTTGCCACATAGCCCCTAGTTAGATAGTATATATAGAGAGAAGAGTGAAGTCTTCTTCACTCTTGTCAATTCCTTTCTTGCTTCCAATCTAGTTTCAAGGCTCTCTAATTTTCTTGTCTTTTGGCAATAGCCATTCCAGTTTCTCTTTCAATATACATACTTATTTATTTATATTTTGTTACATTTCTTTGAATGAAGGCTCACTTGTCTGAATTACTTTTTCATCGAGTTCTTGTCCTTGACAGATTGACAAGACTACACCTACAATATCAGAGCTTTGTCTAATCTTGATTAAGAGTGGATTATCTCTTTTTCTTGATAAGATATAAGCATATTAGAAGTTGCGGATTACCCTCTTCTAAACTGATAGTGTCGTTAGTATTTTTTTTGTTCTCAAGTCCTTTCTTCTATTTATCTTGAGCAATATTAGACATCTTCTCTTTTCTAAGTGTTATCATGGCAGAACTTATTGAAATGAAGAGTGCAATGGCACAAATACAAGAGCAATTGAGGGAATTAATGCTTGCAATGCATCAACTCAATTTACCACCACAAAGAGCAATAAGATTGGCAAGAAGTGAAGATATAGAAATAGTTGGAGCTACTTCAATATTTGTACCAAATCATGTCCTTTCTCCTATGGTGGAACGCCCTTCTAGTGTTAGAGAATCAAAAATTGCCCTATCCGAGAAGTTTGATGGCACTAGATCCAAGTTTTGAGGATTTATTAATCAAGTGTAATTTATGATTGAACTTCAATCCAAAGCTATCCAACTCTAGAATCACAAGTTAGATTCATTGGTATGCTTCTTTCAGGTTTAGCACTATCATGGTTTTCATCTTTTCTTGAATGACGAGATCCAATATTGGATAATCTAGATGCTTTTATGGCAGAGTTTCGATCCATGTATAGAAAACATGATGCAATTCATGTTGCAACCAATAAGATTCATATTTTACGACAAGACAATCGATCAGTAACATTGTACGTTTCACAATTTTGACAACTTGTAACTGATATTAAGTGGGATGATGCTGCACTTATTAGCCAATTTCTCTATGGATTACAACATGAGGTAAAAAAATTAATGCTCAACTTACTTGATCCTCAAACATTGAGTTAAGCAATTGACTTTGCTGTAAAGTGCGACAATCACCTTTTTGAATTCTGATTTGAGAACAGTATAAGTGGACCTCAACGTTACTATAATTCAATGGCAATATCAACACCTCTTCAACACATATATTCGAAAGTAGAGGATATGCAAATTGATGCAGTACGTTTTATACCTCTTACTGAGCAAGAAAAGACTCGTCGTCCTCAAGAAGGATTATGTTTATATTATGGAGAACCAAAAC